TCTTCAACAAGCCACCGATTTGAGAAGAGAGTGAGCTAAAATCCTAGGAGCTTATTGTGAACGCTCTAATTAATGCTCTTGAGCAGTAAATATATTTTAGACATTTATTACTGAAGAATGCAATGACTGTGTTTCTAGACATTAACAAAAGTTACGTTTGCTTGGCCAACAATTGTGCATTAATGCCCCTCAAGAGGAATGCCGAGTGTATGTGTCCTGTGATAGAGACCCATTTTTCTGGGCTAGATTGCCAAATGTATACAATGATGCATTTAAAATTGTGCAATGAATACGCCCAAGGGAAGTGTTAGCTGTCCTGAACGTTATAGATCAAATGGAAGAAAGAAAGCAATGTCTGAAAAACTGGAGACTCAGAAGAAGGGAATTGTGCAGATTTATTCTGTTCATTTGCAGATTTGTCTTTTCTTTTTTTTTTTTGCATCGATTATATACAGAGTATATCATATATCAGAAGTAGAAATGTTAATCCAACTGTAGTATTTTGCTTAAATAATAGCTACAAATTCCCAAAGAACCACCTAGGATATTAATCTGTTCTAGATTTTGAAAATATAATCCTAGAAAATTTTACCCCCTTTAAGTCAAGCTTAAAAACTATTAAATGAATACGTATAAATTGTATTTATGGTTTATCCAATTAAACAGAGAAAGTTTCAAAATAAATTATATTAGCTCAATTTTGGACAGTTTCCTAGAAATATATAATCCTTGGAAAGTTTTGAAAGAACTGAAAAAGTTGTATTAAGAAAATAGAATGAAGTATCCCAGAATTAGCCTGCCCATGAGGGAAGTCATAATAGAGAAAGAATTTGCCTTTAAATCTTTTGCACCCAAGAGGAAAATAAGTTTCTAGAACAGTATGTTATTCACAATAGAGAACCAAAACCAATGTTATTGGTAAACAAGCAGGACGTTATTTGTCTCTTCACCTGCCATGAAATAATTCAAATCATTTTAGTTCACTTTATGGTAAAATAAGTGGCAAGACACTGAAAGTAATACACCGTTTAATTTATTTCCCTTAATTCAATCCCAGAAATCAAAATAGGATGGGAAATATTTCATACTTCCTATCAAGAACTTATCTCTAAATGGAATCTTTTTCACAAATACTCAACACAAAAGCATGCAAACTGTCAATCTACAAAATGAATGCTGATCATTGGAGGGTTTTCTACTTACCAAACATTTATTTAATACCCACTTGACCTGATTTACTTGGTTCAACCAAAGTTACTACAGATTGCTACGGGATACATAAATTTCATTCAATTTTTTCACTCAATACCAAGTCTGTAAGCATCTTCAGCTGTTTTTAAATTGAGAGCCCTCATCCCTTCATGGATGTTTTTTCCCTTCTTTTGATATCCTCTTTTCAGAACCCAGGTAGCGTAGTGTGTATACCTCTATTTTAACATCCATTACATTTATTATTTATTGTAGCTGCCATTTCACTGTGCCTACTATGCTGTGCACTCACTGATGGCAGGAATGTCATTTTGTATTCATTTTTTAGTACATAACACCAAAAACAATACCTAGTACATGTAGGAGGTCAATAAACATTTGGTGAACAAAGGTAACTAATTAAATACCTCCAAAAAGCTATGAAAGCTATAACTACGAGATGCTACTATTGAAGATTAATGTATTAATCTAACATTAGGATGGGAAGACTGAGTGATGTTTAGATTTTTTGTCCCCCCTTGGTGTCAATAACATATATGAAACTTAATAGTAAAATAGGATGAAAGACTTGATTGGAGATGGAAGAAGGAGGCTCTTCATGGGAATCTCAGCTGTGTGAGTGACCATGGTGCCACCTTGATGCTGATATTCTACCTCAGAGGGATTCAGCACTGTTAGGTAATCTAGCACTAAGGAACAGACTCTCCTGGAATTATGGTGATAGTCCAGCTTTATTCCTCAATTACATGCAGACAATTTACATTTAGAAAGCAAGGAGAATCTAAATGTAGCATTTACAAAGCCCTTCCCTATGGAAACTGTATTTCCATACTCTGCGTGCCTATGACTATTATTTTTCTTTAAATCTTTATTTGAGTATAATTGCTTTACAATACTGTGCTAATTTCTGCTGTATAACAAAGTGAATCAGCTATACGTATACATATATCCCCATATCCCCTCCCTCTTGCGTCTCCCTCCCACCCTCCCTATCCCACCCCTCTAGGTGGTCACAAAGCACTGAGCGGATCTCCCTGTGCTATGTAGCTGCTTCCCACTAGCTATTTATTTTACATTTGGTAGTGAATAAATGTCAATGCTACTCTCTCACTTTCTCCCAGCGTAAACTTCCCGCTCCCCGTGTCCTCAAGTCCATTCTCTAGTAGGTCTGTGTCTTTATTCCCGTCCTGCCCCTATGTTCTTCGTGACCATTTTTTCTTTTTTTTTTTTTTAGATTCCATATATATGTGTTAGCATATGGTATTTGCTTTTCTCTTTCTGACTTACTTCACTCTGTATGGCAGACTCTAGGTCCATCCACCTCACTACAAATAACCCAATTTCGTTTCTATTTATGGCTGAGTAATATTCTGTTGTATATAAGTGCCACATATTCCTTATCCATTCACCTGTTGAAGGACACCTAGGTTGCTTCCATGTCCTGGCTATTGTAAATAGAGCTGCAATGAACATTGTGGTACATGACTCTTTGTCTCTTATAACAGTCTTTATTTTAAAGTCTATTTCATCTGATACGAGAATTGCTACTCCAGCTTTCTTTTGATTTGCATTTACATGGAATATCTTTTTCCATCCCCTCACTTTCAGTCTCTATGTGTCCCTAGGTCTGAAGTGGGTCTCTTGTAGACAGCATATATACGGGTTTTGTTTTTGTATTCATTCAGCCAGTCTGTGTCTTTTGGTTAGAGTATTTAATCCATTTACATTTAAGGTAATTATCAATATATATGTTCCTATTACCATTTTCTTAATTGTTTTGTGTTTGTTTTTGTAGGTCTTTTCCTTCTCTTGTGTTTCCTGCCTAGAGAAGTTCCTTTAGCATTTGTTGTTAAGCTGGTTTGGTGGTGCCGAGTTCTCTTAACTTTTGCTTGTCTGTAAAGGTTTTAATTTTCCTTCAAATCAGAATGAGATCCTTGCTGGGTAGAGTAATCTTTTTTGTAGGTTTTTCCCTTTCATCACTTTAAATATTTCCTGCCACTCCCTTCTGGCTTGTAGAGTTTCTGCTGAAAGATCAGTTGTTAACTTTATGGGGATTCCCTTGTATATTATTTGTCACTTTTCCCTTGCTGCTTTTAATATTTTTTCTTTGTGTTTAATTTTTGATAATTTGATTAATATGTGTCTTGGTGTGTTTCTCCTTGTATTTATCCTGTATGGGACTCTCTGCATTTCCTGGACTTGATCCACTATTTCCTTTCCCACGTTAGGGAAGTTTTCAACTGAAATCTCTTCAAATATTTTCTCAGACCCTTTCTTTTTCTCTTCTTCTTCTGGGACCCCTATGTTTCGAATGTTGGTGTGATTAATGTTGTCCCAGAGGTCCCTGAGACTGTCTTCAATTCTTTTCATTATTTTTTCTTTATTCTGCTCTGCAGTAGTTATTTCCACTATTTTATCTTCCAGGTCACTTATCTGTTCTTCTGCCTCAGTTATTCTGTTTTTGATTCCTTCTAGAGAATTTTAAATTGCATTTATTATGTTGTTCATTATTGCTTGTTTGCTCTTTATTTCTTCTAGGTCTTTTTTAATACTTTCTTGTATTTTCTCCATTGTATTTCCAAGATTTTGGATCATCTTTACTATCATTACTCTGACTTCTTTTTCAGGCAGACTGCCTGTTTCCTCTTCATTTGTTTGGTCTGGTGGGTTTTTACCTTTCTTCTTTATCTGCTGCATATTTCTCTGTCTTCCCATTTTGCTTACTTTCTGTGTTTGGGGTCTCCTTTTCACAGGGTGCAGGTTCGTAGTTTCCATTGTTTTTGGTGTCTGCCTCCAGTGGGTAAAGTTGGTTCAGGGGCTTGTGTAGGCTTTCTGGTGGAGGGGACTGGTGCCTGTGTTCTGGTGGGTGGGGCTGGATCTTGTCTTTCTGATGGGCAGGGCTGCATTCAGTGCTGTGTTTTGGGGTGTCTGTGAACTTAGTATGATTTTAGGCAGCCTCTCTGCTAATGGGTGGTGTTGTGTTCCTGTCTTGCTAGTTGTTTGGCATGGGCCATCCAACACTGGAGCTTGCTGGCCGTTGGGTGGAGCTGGGTCTTAGCGTTGAGATGGAGATCTCTGGGAGAGCTCCCGCCGGTTGATATTACATGGGGCCGGGAGGTCTCTGGTGGTCCAATGTCCTGAACTCGGCTCTCCCACCTCAGAGGCTCAGGCCTGATACCAGGCCGGAGCACCAGGACCCTGTCAGCCACACGGCTTCTGAAATGTAGTCACATTCTCCATTTAATTTGCAACTCCTTGTAGAAAAATGATTAGCCAACAATAAAGACTGCAGCCGGGCAGCGCTCTCTGTCTCTGTCTGTCTCTCTGACTCACTTTCTCTCTCTCTGTATACGGTCCAGATGTCTCAGTAACCCCTTACTATCACAAGGCTGTGTCCTTAAGGCAGCTTCTGGTGTGGGGGAGGCAAGCAGAATGTCGACTCTCATTGATGGAGCCAAATTCTCCTAAGACCTTAAACTCTTTCCTAGATGTGAATCAGTTAACTTTCAAATCTTCTTTGGGCCAAGAGAAGTGACTGGCTGACTCCAGTGTAGTCTAGTACCATCCAATTTATAGTTAAGAGTTGGTGGTTTTTATTGTTGTTTTTAACATAATCTGACTCCAAAACAAATTTTATCAACTGGGCTTTCCTCTTCACACGTAAATACTCCAGTAAAACAAATTAAATGTAATGTACACAATGGGAAATAAAATCCTTGAATAGGTGTCAATGACATGGTTGCTCTCCAGAATGATTCTACCAACCTGCCCTCCTAGAGATTTTCTTCTCTTTATCGGAGGTGAATCTGTGCTGAGGTTGCCTGTGCATCTTTCTTGCATGGAGTCCTCTTCTGAGTGTAGAGAAAAGGATGTCTGGTCCGTGTCAGTTGTACTGTCATGGTAACAACCATCAAAGGCCATGGCTTGAGCTGCATCAATGCTGTACATTCCAGAAATCTGACAAAAAGACTTTTGTTAGTTAGTCATGAATATGGTTTTAGGAGTTGGAATTACAGTAAAAATCTAAACAATCAGATTTTAAAAATAGTTTCAATAAATACTAAGAATGTTTGCTTATTTTTTGCTTCTGGTTTTGATGGTTTTGCTTCTGGTGTCTGATGAAAAGTCATTTTCATAATAAATGGAAAACATCATCTTAGACATCCATTTTTAATAGGGATTTAGAGAGAGAGAGATTTGAGCATTACACAAATAAATGTATCACAACTATAATTGTCAATGTTTTCTAATTTAGTCCAGGCCTGACAGACTGTTACACTCAATGTTTTTTTCCACAAAAGGGAATTTTGTTTCAAGTTTTCCTCTTTGTTTCTGAGTAGTATGAATTGTTTGCCCTAAGTTTGTGTGTTGAAATTGAATATGATTTATCAGAAGAGCAATATAAGCAATTGGACTTGTTTTTCAATGTATTTTTCCTCTTTAGAGAAAACATAGCAGTATGCCTAATCAGTGTGGGGTTTTTGTCCCAAAACAGAACAATATCATCTGGTGATCCATTTTTGCTTGAATTTGGGGTGGAGATAGGGAATGATTTTAGCTGCTCCTTTAAAATGCAAATTGACCAAGCCTTCCCACTTTTGCTGAAAAGTACCTTTAAATGATACTAACATAGCTCAATTAAACAACTTGAAATTGGTGTATTTTTTTGAAGGAGTGAGTTATCAACGCTTTCTGGCTCCATTGCTTGACTGAATCTAAACCACTGTTTTTCTTTAAGGTTTTACTCTGCGGGAGGTAGTGGTTCTCCCTGATACAGAGCTGTGTCTAGGAAGCAGCTGTTACTAATTGCTTTCTGAGAAAACAAAATTTCTTTTTGATCTCTAGGGAAACTAAAAAATGAACAAATATGGACAGGCTACTACTGGATGAAAGTATTCATAATTCAAATTGGAGGCTGCAGAGTAAATTCTGCCAAAATGTGTATTTGGTTCAATACTGACTCAAAAACCTAATATTTTACTGAATTCAAGAGACATAAGGACTATTTTGTGCAGTCAGTAAACTAACCAGGGACCCATACTCGAATTATGTTGTCCCTTTTTGTTTTAGTTGTAGAAACTTCTCATAGTAAAATGAAAATGGGTAAAATAAACATGAAACGACATTGAGACTGAATTACTAACCAATAGCCAATAATAACACTTATATCCAACTCTGGATCTGAGGATAGAATAACTATATACTGTCTCCTTGGTTTTCTTTCTCCATTATGATAATTTAGATCTATAAAACTGGTTAAACCTTGCAGTGCACAATTTACCAGTAGGCTGCTAATGTCCACAAGTTTGTAAGTTGGTTGTTCCAGTAGAAACAGTTTTAGAACTGGTCTGTAATTTTTCACTCCAGCTTACAAATAAGCACAAAGCTAAGGCATATTATATCTAAAGTACAGATGTGATGGTTTTAGACTGAGCTCTAAGTCCTAGAATTAGGAAAACATTTGGATGAAGAATAAGAAAGAAAATAGCTTCCTTTCTCCTTTCTGGGAAATGGTCAATGCTAGGGACAAATTTTCCATGGACCTTACTGTTCTCCCATCTCTTGGTATCTGGGGGTGGTTGGGACAGGTGTGTGATGGTGGTGATCGTGGTGTTGGAAGGAAATGAGCTTTGCTTAACTTCATGATTTCATAGGGAGGAACTCCATAGCCTAACATTCCTGGTCTTTCTCATCATCCCTCAATCACTCTACCCTAGGGGTTTGGAAGAAGGAACTGGCATGTGTGGTTTTAGTCCTTTTGGAGTCACTTTAGGATCTGCATTGGTGTCCAGGTTTGTTTTCTGAAATGAGGTAAAGGAGACTGTCCTCACAGGGAAATCCTGAATTGTCTAGCTTCGCCAGTGACCAAGAGAGTAAGTACACTGAATACAGCAATGAAATATTAGTAGGACCCCCTGCTCACAGATCTAAGGTAATTTCTCTAAACTGCTTTACCAATAACAAAGGTAACATTATCACATCCATCTGTCTGGCTCCTACATCTCTCTCTCTCTCTCAGACTGGTTTCCCAACTCATATACAGAGGGGAGAGGTATCATTGATTAGCCCTCAATCCTACAGACATATCTTTTTTCCCTGCATCTCACCAGAGCATCCCACCCCTTTAGAGATCTCTCATCTCAAACAGCCTGTTCCCACTATCCCTTTCAAAACTGCTACTCCTTCAGAGAATATGCTCTGGGCACTAATCACAATAAGAACATAACATTTGTGTAGCACTATATGGTATGCAAAAATGTTAAATGCATTTATTATATCATTTGATCTTCACAACAGCTCTGTGAGGTAATAGGGAAGAAATTCCACCATTTTGCAAATGCAGAATGAGGTTTAGGAGACAGCCTGGCACACGGAGCTAGGATATTAGGTTTGGCATCACTTCTGACTCCAAATCTGTGCTCTTTCATTTGCACCACAAACATATGAAGGGCAAGTAGGACATTCCTTTGAGATAATTGCACCTTTGAAGGAGAATGCATAGAATGGTGGTTTCCAGAGGTTGGGAGGAGGGGGAAATGGGGAGTTGTTTAATGGGTACAGAGTTTCAATTTTGCAAGGTGAACACTTTCTGGAGATTGGTTGTATGGCAATGTGTATACTCTTAATACTATGAAACTGTACACTTAAAAACAATTAAGGGCTTCCCTGGTGGCGCAGTGGTTGAGATTCCGCCTGCCGATGCAGGGGACACGGGTTCGTGCCCCGGTCAGGGAAGATCCCACATGCCGCGGAGCGGCTGGGCCCGTGAGCCATGGCCACTGAGCCTGTGCGTCCAGAGCCTGTGCTCCGCAACGGGAGAGGCCACAACAGTGAGAGGCCCGCGTACCGAAAAAAAAAAAAGAAAACAAAAACAATTAAGATGGCAAGTTCTATGTTATGTATATTTTACTACAATTGAAAATAAAAAATAATTTTTAAAGTGAACAATGCTTATTAATTCAAAAGAATATCTTCTGGGGTACACAGAAGACTGTGAACAACCCGATCAAGTGAAAAAAACATGCAGGTAGTGCGAGCACATGTGCTTTGTGGTGGGGTGGGTGGAGGTGGGGAGTCAGAGGACTAGCTAGAGGCGGCCGAAATTACTACAGTGCCTCTGTCGTGGGTTCACCACTCCCCACATGAAAACAAAACAAAACAAAATAAAACAAGAACAAAATTCTCCTCCTCATCACACATTTATCTCTTTCACTTCACAGCTTATCTAATCATGGCTCTTCACAGTGTGGCTATGGATTGGCAGCAGCCAGGGCTTAGAAATGCAGACCCTCAGCTCCCACCCCAGACCTATTGAACGAAAATCTTAACAAATCCCAGGTGATGCGTACATGCCGATTACTGCATACTCGTCTAAAAGCTCCTGATTTTCTCACGCCTGCATAGCGGTCACTGTGGGTATGTATGTGACAGAGACTCATACTTCCATGCTGTCAACAAAAGAAACTAAAGCATCTGCAATGAAGCAAAATCAGTTTCTATTACAGCTTTGACTCAAAGGATATGAAATAAAAGACTGAAGTAGCATTACAGGAGATCTGAACTGCGACTGCAGCTCTGCTGGCTGTGGATCTTTGGGCAAATCACCAGAGATAATCATCGCAAGGCCTACATCATGGAGTTGATATGAGGGCTCAGTTCCAGAAGAGGATATACAAATGCTCTGAAAAGTATGAAATACTCTCACTAGAAATATAAAAAAAAATTAAATAATGTTTTGGGTGTGTATAGTCATTATAAGAATTTCTTAAACCAGTGTGAATATATCACATTAAAATTGCACATATATATATACACATATACACACACACATATATATAGCAAACAAATTGATTTGATCAGTTAGGTTTCTGAAGTAAAATATCATGTGTCAGTTCTCGTAATAACAGGAAGTTGGTGCCCCACCCCTTTGTGAAATGAAGCAGGGAGAGAGCAATCTATCCAGATTGATAATGTCCCAAGGAACAGGTGATAACATTTAGGCCCAGAAGGTACCTTATTCCCAGTACACTGTGAAGAGAAGAACCTTCCCTCGTGCTCTACCACTCTCCCGAGTGACTAGAAAAGAAAAATAAATCCTAGCTCTTGGTGGAGATCGATCATTGATTGGTTGAGAGCACAGCCTTTGGAGTCAGGGTGCTCCAGAAACAAATCCTGATTCCTCTCAAGCTGTGTGACCTTGGTCAAGTTACTCCCGCATCTGCTCCTATTTCACCTCCGTAAAATGAAGGTGATAAAGTACCAACCTCTTGGAGTTACTCTGAGAATTAAAAGACATAATACGTTGGATGGTTAGCACAATGCCAATATATAAGAAACACTCATTAAATGTTAGCTATTATTATTAGCAGCATCATCACCTACTTGCAAGGATGCGATTTGTGCATCAACCCCTTCTTTTCAAGGGTTAGAGTCAGTGGAGGGGAGCACACTGGGAGAAATTCCTCACGCAGAAAATCTCTTGGCAAAGGCGAATGAGGATGCTGAGGAAACCAACCGGCACAGAGCAGAAAGAATAAAGTTCAATATCAAATTGTCATCACCCCATAAACGTGCATCTTGCCAAGGCACATGGACTTCACACGAGGGTTGCAATGCTGTCAGGAGAGGGCATAGATGAGGGTAGTCTTTTTCACATTCCGGAAAGGATACAACAGTCAAAAGAAGGCAATACCTTCTCTGTCTTCACTGTGGTGAGGTAGTTCACGGCTGCGTACTCAAGGGCTGACAGGAAGACAAAGAGGGAGCTAACCCACAGGTACACGTCCACGGCCTTGACGTAGGACACCTGGGGCATGGAGGCGCACACCCCAGAGAGGATCGTGGACATGGTCAGCACCATGGTGATTCCTGCCATTTGAGAACAGTGACGAGTTCAGTGACATAACCATTCAGCTCCAGGTGCTGGTGCTGCATGACGCCAGGGGATACATTTCCAGACTGACACCTGGTGATCAAAGGCGTGTGTGTGTGGACGGAATCCCAGCATGTTAACCTAGTGCACGGCTTGCGCCTAAGCAAGAAACTCTGCTTGGATTTCTCTTTCCATCTCATTTTCTCACCCTCACCCCCACTGTCTGTGACGTCTCCTTCCCTCCAGCTAAAGTCTCCACGGAGTCAGACTTGTCTTTAAGGATCCATTGCTTCCCACCCTCAGTTGGGCCTCTTCTAACCATCCCAGGAAGGTAATAATGTATTCAAGTTTTAAAAATTCTTCTGAGAAAGAAATTCTAAAACCATTTCCACTACCCTTCCCCATCATTTCACAACTTCTACTGTTCAGAAAGCGTCATGTCAATCTTTAATCTTTCATTTGTCAGGGAGTGATCTTTAGCAGCATTAAAGATTGCTTTCTCTGTATTTTTCTTTCATATAGAATACTTACAAGCCATCGTTATTGGTATCACTTTGCCCCTGGTTACCGAAACTACAATTCAGTTGAGATTCAGAACGGAAGTGTGTTAGTGGAGGCTGGGTTCAGTGTAAATATTTACTAAGCAACTGCTAAATGCCACTTACTTTTTGCGCCTCCCCTCCCTTTCCCTTGTTGTCCAGTACTCCTACCACTTTCCTTCTCTTCCCTTCCTCTCCCTGACCACTGCCTTCCCCTTCCCTTTCCTTTTCTTCTCTTCCTTTCCCTTCTTTAATCCCTGCCATGGGCGTCAGAGGTAACGAGATCAATGTTCTGGGGGACAATGGAGAAAGAAGTGACTCTGAGACTTCCTTAATAAAATGCCAGCCTTGGGGAGGGCTACTCTGTGTCTACACTAATTTCTCAGAGGCATACTGCAAGAGTACTGCCTGGAGAGAAAGTAAAGTATCGTAAATATTTGAAATGTACACTGGCTGGCATGGTTTTATTTATTAACTTCCCACCAGGGACGTGCAGATGGAATCCTTAATGATTTTTATAAGTTGTGAGGACATTTTAATGTTAACAGACAGAGTCCCGAACAGCAGGAGGAGCACTGCGATTTACTCCTAAATGTACAGACACAGCACGTGGACAGCTTTCACCCGCACATTTCTACCTTTTCAACAAATTCTATAATTCTGCAAGGTTCTCATCTGAGGGAGGCCCATATCAAAGACAATGACAGTGCTACAGAGCTATTCAATTTCAAATTAAGTTTTTCCTTTGGATGACCCAAACCAATGCAATTTGGCAATTTGATAGTCACCATAGGAGGGCCTGGAATCTCACCTTCACACTGATTTGAACTCCAGGATAAGAAACCTAAAAGCTTCTCTAGCACTTACCATGAAATGCAGGCCACTGACCCACTGAGTCTCAGGTTTCCCCAACGATGGTAGTATCAATAATCTGCGTCTCGGTGGAGGCTGCTTGCATTCCTTGCTACATAAACGTGGAGATGCGAACTTTTTATTAATGGATCAGGTGTGTGTATAGCTGAAGCTGAGATTAATAAATAAAACTTGCTTGCCTTTATTGAATATTTACCCGCCACAAACCTAGGTAAATATTAACCACATGTTGCAGAGGAGCGCGGCTAATGAGCCTGAGTTTGGTCAGGAGCAGGACTGAAACCTTTCTCTCTGAGTGTAGAACCATGCTCTTTTCATGCAGACCTGTGGCCTCTCATTCTGAACCTGTAGAGGAAATTTCCTTTTGTTTTGTTTTGGTTTGTTTTTGCGGTACGCGGGCCTCTCTCTGTTGCGGCCTCTCCCGTTGTGGAGCACAGGCTCCGGACGCGCAGGCTCAGCGGCCATGGCTCACGGGCCCAGCCGCTCCGCGGCATGCGGGGTCCTCCCGGACCGGGGCACGAACCCGCGTCCCCTGCATCGGCAGGTGGACCCTCAACCACTGTGCCACCAGGGAAGCCCTCCTTTTGTTTTTAAGATTATAAACCAATTTCTATATATGGAGTATCTCTGAGACAAGATGCTGTAAAATTGAGTGTAGAATTATGTCAGGAAGCATGAAGGTACTTTGTGCTTTACAAGAGGCCAAAAGTCTTACTCCTGTCAGGATTTCCCTGGTAAAACCGTGAAAACTGTGAAAATCCTAAATGAACATTCCTATTTAGGAATGTTTACCTCATTTGTTCAAAAATGTTGAAATGTTTTCTCTTACTGGTTTTCTAAGATATGGAAGATAGAACTTGAATTTTTTTCAGTGAACAGTAACATGAAGCTTAATGGACAAAATAAGGGTTTAGAAAAACACACAGATACATGTTCTTGTCATGTATTTTAAATTGATGACTGTTGGGTCAATAAAAGGCAATTGCATTATCTGTATTTGCCAGACAGCAATAAACTAGCAGTCATTTTCTTTAGAAAGGTGCTTAGTCCAACTAATTTTTGGTAGCTTTATTTATTTTTAAACCAGCATTCTAGACTTTCCTCTTTAAAAGGAGCAAACAGAGAGAGGGAGAGACAGGGAGACTGGGGAGAAGGGAATGTTGAGTACAGGGAGTAAGGGGTGAGAAAACTGATATATAAATTCCTAAAGCAATAGGACTTGAGGTGAGGAGTATTACAGCTACATTAACCACACTTTGTCTTGAGCCACCCCTTAGAAATACATTAAAGTTAGCATCCCAATAAAGGAGTTTTGAATTATAGGAAGTGACCATTTAGTCAAAGAAAGGTCCTGTGTTGGGATTAGAGAATTATTTTCCCACCTACTGAAATTGCTATGCATAGTTAGGAAAGTGTTATGAGGCAATAGTTAGTCTGGCTTCTGGGACTCAACTTCCCTGAGCCTCGCAGTTTCACTCACCATATTAATTCTTAAGGACACATATGAAATCCAAAGAGTCCTGCAGTTAGGGGAGAATTATTCATCTATCTTTGTGTTTCATTGGCTATTTTTTGCCATATATGATGGAGAGGTTCATTGACCTGTGTGAAAGCGGTAGGGCCTGCAGACGTCACTTAGAACTACTGAGTCAGTTCACCCCTTCAGTGGCTGTGTGGTGGGGAGCTCTTTTGAAGGAATAGGTGTCTACATTCATCTTTAAATGAGCAAAAACATTTTCCCTGTAGGCCTAGGCAGAAGAAAAATATTAAGTGATGTGAGGGAGAGAAACATAGGCTGGATATCCAAATACCACTCTATGGCCAGAAAGTAACAACCATTATTCCACAAAGGTGGTGCCAGAGTCCGTGGCACAGAAGTTCTGGTTACTTCTATAATGGTAAAATGAATAGCTCCTAAGTATTTACTTTTCCAGGTATACGGGATATCCTCTGTTAGACATTTTGCTTTATGAATGACTACATGCCTGAAAGTTTTAGTTGCCTTTCTCTGCCATGTTTATTTCCTGATAAATGACCCCATTACTTCATACATTGTACATGAACGGCATACCCCAGCAGGGGGGTCAAAACAGGAACGATGGAGACAAGGAAAGAAGGAGGGAGATAGAAAGGAGAGGAGAACCCTCCATGAGGGTTAAAACATCCTTGAACAGCTTGTAATAGTCTCACACCAGATCGAATAGAAACATAGAATGGTATTTTAACCCATTACACATTCCAAGTTATGATAGCTATTGTCTCTTATGAGAAGTGCCTAATCACAATTGATACTTTTGTGCTGTTCAGCTTCCATTGTTCTTTATCTGAAACGTGACAAATGTGGAAGGGTCTTAACCAGCAAATGATTCATCCTCAATCAGCAAATGAACCCAAATGTGGAAGAGTCTTAATGAATCATCATTGTTTTCAGTTAGTAGCTAAAATACAGTTATTAAAAACATGGTGGGCTAAATACTGGTAGTTTAACAACTATGTATTGAGCACAAAATATGTGCAGGACACTGTGCCAGTCACGTAGGGACAGAAAAGAGGATAATAATGATCCTTTTCCTTAAGAAACTCATATTCTAATAGAGGAGACAAGATGAGCTACCAACCCATCCCATAACCGAACATGAAATAGAGGAAGTAGGGGTCTCAGGAGAGATACAAAGTGCTATGCGGTCCAAAGATGGGAGAGACCATATCTGCCTGGAACCATCAGTAAAGGCTTCTGGCTGTATAGAAATGGCTGAATTTGACAGAGAAAGACAGGTAGGGAGGGCATTCTAGGCAGAGTAAGAGCCAGAACAAATATATAGAGGTGAGATACACAGATAGGCATGAGGGCCTGTTTGAGAACATTGAACATTCAAATTGGTTGAAGCTTATTAGGGCTAGTATGTTGACGCAGGAGTATGATTGAAAATTTAGCAAATAAAAATACAGAACACTCAGTTATATTTCAATTTCAGATGAACAATGAGCAGTGTTTTAGTATCAGTATGTCCCATACAATATTTGGGATATACTTAAATGAAAACATTACTTGGTGCTTATCCAAAATATAGATTTAACCAAGTGTCTTGTATTTTATCTGGCAACCCTCAAGGGACACCTTGGATTCCAAGTTGAGTGTATTTACTCCAATGGCATTTGAGATGAGAGTATTGTGATCACATTTGCGTTTTAGAGATATCACTCTGGTCATAGGGGCAAGAAGAGAAGGAGGTGAAATAAGCTATTACAAGGCCTCTGCAAGCCCAAACTACATCTTTGTACAAATTAGTAAGAGGTGCCCCTTCCTCTGGAGGACGTCACCCCAAACCATGTCCCATGGAACTTGGGCTGGATTTCTGCTCCCTACTCCTCACTGGGTGCACTGAAAAATTAGGAGTTTTGGATTAACAGATACACGCTACTATATATAAAATAGATAAACAGCAAGGACTGACTATATAGAACAGGTTACTATACATAATATCTTGCAATAACCTGTAATGGGAAGGAATCTGAATCACTTTGCTGTACACCTGAAACTAACACAACATTGTAAATCAACTATACGTCAATAAAAAAAAAATTTAAAAACAGAGGGCAAAGTATCTTTGAAAGAACTTGAAGGTGGTAGGAAGGAAAAGCCTGAGAGGATAGCGGTGTTCTAGGAATACTACAGTTCTATTAAAAAGGAGAGGGACACTTCTTATTTGTATATTATTTTACATAAATCTGCATAGCAATTTCCTAACCCTGAGGAATCAGATGTAGACACAAGAAGCACAGAATTTCAGGGGCGACTTAAATGGATTTCAGTGTTCTCCATTCACCCCACACTGCCCTGGAACGAGCGTTTACTGCTGTCATTTTCAAAGTATAAGAGTTGAGCAGTCAGCTTCAGGGATCCCATTGAAAATCATATCCATAAACCTTTAGAGACCGAATGCCCTTCTCATTCTGTCTCGAGGGCTGGAAATAGGCCTTTAGTCTCCTCTTTTGGGTCTACACTGCCCTACTGCCCTACTGAGGTCAGGGCCAGGCTGCTCTGATGTGAAGGAACAGCCACAATAATTTAATTACTCATTCAGATAGTATGTTTCCTCTTGAAGACATTCAAGCCTCAAATGCTTGTAGATTGAAGCTTTTAATAGGGGAAAGAGGTGAACAAATTACTAATATTAATGACAATTTATGTCTTTCAAATGATCTTTTGAAGTATGCATATAATTTGTGAACATTAACTTAGAAATCACCCTTTCTGGAATGAATTGCATGATAATTACAATGATTATGAACCACTTATGGCAATCTTCTCTCTAGTTAGAGCATTACAGGTGAAAGAACAAAATCAACCAAAATATAGAGTTCTGCCCCAAACCAGCTAAGAAGGCAGGTGGGATTGACTCTTGGGATCCCACTAAGTAACATGTTATCTAAGTGCTTAGCTTGGCAACTCTACTTTGTAAGGACTCAATAACTGCTAAGTGGGTCATTCCCATAAATCTGTATGTGTGACAGTGGCAATATAACATATGTAGATAGAGGAGATAATATACCTGTTAATGAGGCTGGAAATGTTTCTCCATCTGAAATCTCTTGCCCACTAATGTGTCACCATACCTAAAATTCCACTGCAGCTGATTCTGATTTTAGCGTTTAGATTACGCCCTAATTTCTAACTAGTGCTCATGTTTCCAAATTCAAACATCCCCCTCTCCAAGAAGTAATTTATTAAGGTACCAGTATAGTGTGAATTGGTTTGAATTGAAATCTTCTGTGATGTACGGGTTTGTCAGGGAAAGTGAAATGAACTTGGGCAAGGGATAGGGAGGTTTTCCTGAAAGGGAGAAGAGAGGCATTTATAAAGTGAGGCTGTTTATGCTTCATAATTTCACCCTCTCTCCTTACTATCATCCAGCTTTGGTCAGCTGGTGCAGCTTCATACCTAATGTCTGGATTCCCGAGGAAAGAGTCCAACTACAATTTGCCCTTGAGGCTGTCAAGCCAAGTACTGTAACCTGAGCCCACATCAGTAACTATCCCTACTAAACCATCAGTCTCTTTCCCTCTCCACTTATCACCCTTTTTATTTACCTTCCTCGACATTTCTCCCATATTAACATTTCACAAAGGTGTGGAAAGACTTACCCAAGGAAACTCTTGCAGGGACAGCTCTCTGGTCAATCCAAAATGAAACCCAGGAAAGCATTACCATCAACACAGCCGGGAAATAGCTTGGCAGCACGAAGAAGAAAATATGCCTCCTTAGCACAAAGTTGATGAAAAGCCTGTTGTACCAACCTATGAGAAAAAGCCAAAGTTTTAATCAGAACAGGCTTCTTCGTGGAAACCCCACACTTAGTGAAACAACCTGCTTCTTTAGACTCCAAGCTCTTAGGGAACATGGAACTTAACACACTCACCCTTGTTTACCCAGCATTGGCATAGGACCTGGGCCTGGCACTCCATCGAATGTTTGTTGAACTAACTGAACTGCAGTCTGTTTAATTATCTGACTCAAAAATCCTCCTTTAAATTTCATACCTGCTGTTCAGGGATGAATGGTAATTACATTTTATGGGATGGCCTTTAAAGACCTTTCTCCAAAATATACTGTGTTTGCAGTGTTTCTGCAGGTGAGAAAGTCTTCAGTACATGGCTAATGACTGATGCAATAGCCAATACACTATTTATTAGCTATAACAAATGAAATGAAATATATTATTTCATTTGTGAAGGATGTGAAGGAAAAGATTCACAGTAGCTACTAGGTCACTGGATTCCAAGTTAGGATCCAGACAGCTAGGGATTCAAAGAAGAGCTAGGGGGAGGGAGTATCCATAAACTATTTTTTATTATTTCAAAGTTTCACGGGTACCATTAATTTATCTATGATAAGTCTGCCAAAAAGTAGCCAAATGATGTTCTTTTGCTTGTTGTTGGAATTATATAAACTCACGTTGGTAATATTGATTAATTTGTGCTGATCAAAAGTACAAATTGTAGTCGCATCCACACACATTTTGTTCAGGTTTCCCTTTTCACATTGGCTGCAAGGAAGTTTAAAGCCATATTTTTGGACCATCTATAGGACTTCTCTGAGTGCCGTTCTCTAATAACCACATATATTCTATAACATAACTTGCCCTTGTTTTACATTTTTCTTTCTCACACATTTCTAATTCATATCATGCTTTATTTCACAATAGCTGTGATGTCAGTCTTATTAAACCTTTTCTAAAATAAGGCAGTAAATAATGAAATGATAAAAATGAAAGTATATCTTTTATAAATTAGTGGTAAGATTAATTTTTCTATGATAAATGCAGTTTACTTTGAGACAAAATCATTCAAATCACAGAGACTATAGGTCAAAACAATAAATAAAACTAAATCATAGATGTTGCAAAAGTGGTAAGATTAATTTTTCTATGATAAATGCAGTTTACTCTGAGACAAAATTATTCAAATCACAGAGACTATAGGTCAAAATAATAAATAAAACTAAATCATAGATGTTGCAAAGTTGGAGAACTCTTCTACTTCCTCAGTAGTAATTTCTTAGGTAACTCAAGATGGCAAACCTATTTAGACAGATTAGGTAAATATTTAGGCACTTAGTCTAAGATATACTCCTAGTCAATCCACACCGAATTGGCAGACTGCATGCCTAATATTCTACTTTTTTTTTTTTTTTTCCGGTACGCGGGCCTCTCACTGTTGGGGCCTCTCCCGTTGAGGAGCACAGGCTCCGGACGCGCAGGCTCAGCGGCCATGGCTCATGGGTCCAGCCGCTCCGCGGCACGTGGGATCTTCGCGGACCGGGGCACAGAACCCGTGTCCCCTGCATCGGCAGGCGGACTCTCAACCACTGCACCACCAGGGAAGCCCAATATTCTACTCTTAATTAACTGCTGGTTACCCTTCTCTTTCCTACTTGTTCTGAGTTTCTCTCACCACCAGTTGATATGTTTCAGGAACACCAAACAATTTTGTTACCAAGGCTAATAAAAGATACACTACATAGTGCATTCTAAAGTCAAAATATACATTTTTTAAGCTACTCATTGTCTTGTATTACCCATGTCACAGCCCACTTCATTATGGTTTGCAATTGAGAATTTTGATTATGGTTGTAGAGTGGAATAATAGCATCTCTGACGTTATAGCTTCATATAATTATTGTGAGATTAAAAGAGATAAGGAAAAGCTGTGAAAGTACTTCATAAAGAAAGACATTAATGCATATGGTTTTAAGTCTTGAAATATATTTAGGTAACGAGGTCCTTTCTTTACTCATAATTTTCTGAATTTTTTTTTTTTTTTTTTGCAACCCAGCAGGAGAAATGTTGCTCTGTCTTGCTGTTCTTCTGGGAAGGGGAGACTAGGGATGGTTTTGCTGTTGAAGCTGTAGCCAGGAAGAGCTCCCTTTACCAACCAGTAAAGGTAGTGCTGCTTTGAAAAGTTGTGGAGCCCTCATTTTGGGTAGTGCAATAAATAGAGTGTGAGTCCATTTTTCATATTTGACTTCTGATAACTTTCTAGCCCCACTTCCCCTTCTGTTCCACACCTGGGCAAGCTAGGAGGAAAGCCAGATGTTCCCTCTTTGGCACTGGTGGGAAGATCAAACCATGCAAACACTGCACCATTTAAGGGAATCCTCACCCTAGCCCCACTTTCTAACCACCATAGAACCCCAAGTCAGGCACCCTTTTCTGTTCTCTCAGACATTTTCAGACCTTCTCAGGAGCCTGCCCTGCTCTCTCTAGAAAACCTCAATATGTGAGTAATAAATCTCTTTATACCCTTTTGGCATGTGTGTGGCATCACAGTGACGTACTTGATTGATTGATTAATTGATTGATTCAGCTGCTATTTATTGAGCACCTATCATGCGCCAGGCACATTCTAGGTGAACAAGAGAATGGGGAAGAGATGGTGAACAAGGCAGACAGATCCCTGCACTCTTTCTAGTCAGGCACTCAGACAATAAGGCAGTCAAATAGAGATGTATTTCAGGACATGGTTAGTGATGTGAAGACAAGTACACATGGGGAATGGTGAGGAGGGAAGTCTATTCTAGATAGGATGGCTAGGAAAGCATTCTTTTTTTTTTTTTTTTTTTTGCGGTACGCGGGCCTCTCACTGTTGTGGCCTCTCCCGTTGTGGAGCACAGGCTCCGGACGCACAGGCCCAGCGGCCATGGCTCACGGGCCCAGCCGCTCCGCGGCATGTGGGATCTTCCCTGACCAGGGCACGAACCCGCGTCCCCTGCATCGGCAGGCGGACTCTCAACCACTGCACCACCAGGGAAGCCCTAGGAAAGCATTCTTTGAGGAGATGATATTTGAACAAAGCTCTGAGCAAAATGAGGAAGCTGGTCATCAAAAAATCAGGGGAAAACATTCCAGGCAGAGAGAGAAAAGGCCAAAGCAGAAACCCTGCAGATGGAAAAAGATGGGTGTGTTTGAAGACACGCAAGAAGTAGGGAGAGGGGGCAGGGGTAGTTGTTGAGGTCAGAGCCTTAGGCAGAGAAAGATCATGTAGGGCCTTGCAGGCCATGGTGAGAAGCTTAAATTCTGCTGTAAGTTTGGTGGAAAAACACCAGAGGGCTTTGAACAGAGAAGAATTGTGCTGTTTATGTTTTCAAAAGAACACTCTGTCTGCTGTATTAAGAGTAGACTGCAGGGGCCGAGAGGAAGCAAGGCATCTAGTTAGAGGTGGTTATATGACGAAGACAGAAATCTGCACAGACGGTCCCTGACTTAAGACGATTTGACTTACAATTTTTTGACTTTATGATGGTATGAAAGCCATACACATTCAGTAGAAACTGTAGAAACTTCCAATTTTGAATTTTGATCTTTTTCCTGGGCTGGCCATATGCTCTTGTGTGATGCTGGGCAGCCGCAGCGAACCAGCCCCCAGTCAGCCCCAGATCACGAGGGCAAACAACCGATACACTTACAACGATTCTGCACCCAGGCAACCATTCTGTTTTTCACTTTCAATACAGTATTCAATTAGATTACAGAAGATATTCAACACTTTATTATAAAATAGGATTTGAGTTAGATGAATAAGTGTTCTGAGCACATTAAAGGTAAGCTAGGCTACTTATGATATTTGGGAGGTTAGGTATATTAAATGCACTTCAACCTATGATGGATTTATTGGGAGGTAACCCCATCGTAAGTTGAGGAACACCTGTATTGGAAAGGTAGAGGTGGCTGCCTATAAAAGAATGATGATGTTATTGGCCAAATGGGATGCTTGTTTGGACTTGGGTCTTTCCACTCATACTTTGCCGACAGTAGATGCTCAATAAATGCTGATGGATTGTCCACATAAAATACGGTACCTGTGCTGCTATAGAAAACAAATCCACTGGATGCACCGAATTCCTCGATGAAGAACTGAGAGAGCGAAATATGCTGGTCAGTATTCAGGGACTTGTTTCCATGTTTCCCGTACAGCATTAGATCCTCCTCATTGTAGGCATCTAAGACAAGAAAATAACATTCTTTTTATTGGAGTAAGCTCTTGTAAGTTCCATGAGGTCTATGACCATGTTTTATGCAGTTCTGTATCCCTGGGGTCTGGTCCAATGTCATGGCTCTGAAATATACGTTTGCCAATAGACTGATAATATCCACATCTTCAAAAAGAAAAAAAAAAAACCTCCAAAAATTAGACCCCGATTACTGGCATAGTGTGGCAGCTTTTTCTGTGCCCACGTGACGCATTAAAACTCTCCTAATAGCTGTCTCCATGTCTGTGTGTGCTGTGATGTCACAGCACCGCCTTTCACTCACAGGTCGGATGCCAAGTCTTTAGGGCCCTTTAGTTTTGTAGCTCTATTGGATGAAATTCCAGAGTGAGCTGGGCTTGTACAGAATTTTCTTCTGTAATCAAATACTATTATAGAGAGTTTCTAATGGATTTGGGGAGGAGCATCTATGTAGGAGACATCCATTGAGATTCCCAGCATTTACCCACATTATGGAAAACTGCAGTCAGCTTTTAAGATATCATGTCAAAAATAGCTGGTGGGTCAAATTGACAGGGAGCTGGCTCAGATGCCCTCTGACAGGGCTTTGATTAGGAGGTTTAAGTCTAGAGCTGGGTTTTTCCAGGGAAACAAAGCACACTTAATGGAAGACTGGGATTTATACGGGAACATAAATGGCAGAGCTTTCTAAATCTGCCAGTCTCTGTTAATAGCATTAGCAAGAATACAACTTTTTAGGGAGCTATTCCTTTAAAATCATTGTGGAAACTGCAGAATATGTAGTTATCAAAGCATATTTTTCCTTGAATCTTCTATCTTCTCATTTGAGAGAAAATTTGCCATCATGATTCTTACTAAAAAACCAACCAACCAACCAACCAACAAGCTGTTTTGGACAAATATATTTATCAAGATGTTTACATGCTTGTTAAGAGTATGCTTATTTATATGCAAGTATGTGATGGTGTGTTCAGACCACACACACTCCATAGGGAAGTAAGACTTACAGCTTTCCAGTTCAAGGGAACAATTTTGAGTGTCAAGTGGAAACCTGCTGAAATCCATAAAGCACATTGCTGTAACAGTTATCCTATAGCAAGAATGAGAAAAAGAAAACTGCAGATCATTTAACCACATGGTCAAATAAGCAATGCAGCATTGAAGCTCTCTGACACTTTTGAGTGCCTTTCAAGACTAATGCAAAACAGGTGTTACCATCTTCTTTTCAAGTAACCCATAAGGAAGCAAACCCAGGAAGGTAGGTGATTTGCTTAAGACACAGTTAATGAGTGAATTCCTGCCCTAATAATTGCTTCTGATCTCACCATTCCCTGCGCAGCTTCCTCTATATTTTCTGGGTGTTTTCAGAAAAACACACTTCAAAGTGAGAAGGCTTTTAAATAGATTTAAATATTTTCTGCTTTCTGGAAGATGCAAACTTAAATAGTTTCCAGTAATAAAGAGCTGGAATGGTGGTAATAAAAACCTATGAGTAAAGGTTTCTTTCACAAAGCAAGTTTACCTGAGGAAATTATCTTTCCAGGAGTGAGGGGAAAGCCTGGAGCATTTTCAGTTATAGATCTACGTGCTATTACGCATGTAATTCAGGTGCTATTAAGTTGAAAGGCTTGCATACTGATGAGGACTGTTTTTTCAAATTTTATGTCCTTTTAGCTTTTCCTGGCTTCAGGCAGAGGCTGTTGAACTTTGGTACCCGCAATAGCAGATCAGAGGTTCCTTAAAAGGCCCCTGAGCAAGTCTGCAAAAAACAAAGGCAACAGCTGGTCCAACCCATGGTGTATCCAAGTTAATCAGAGGAGTAGAACCATTTTATCTGCCGGGGGTTGAATTCTACCATCAATAGTCATGCAGCAAAATGCCAAGCCAGGGAGATGTCTGGATAACTTTGTGTCACAAAACATATTCATTTTGGCATCTTCCTTGTACTTTAAAGCTGGAAAGGACTTCTGAAATCTTTGAGTCGACTTCCTTCAGAGTACATATGAATAAATTAACAACCAAGGAGATTAGGCAGGCACTATTAAAGAAAAAACTATGCATGATACTTGTTAAAGAATGGTAAGGCGGACTCTATTTAGGAGGGCTACTATAATTTTTTTTTAATGGGTAACAAAGATTGGGCTCAACTCCAAATATAATCAGTGGGAATTTATAGTGAAGGAAGAGGGAGTGGGGTAGAGGTGCGGAGGTCAGTGGATGAACAATTACCAAGAGGAAACATCAGGGCTTGGGGGATTCTGGCTAAATGGACCTAACAGGATTCTTGCTGAAGGGGGGCCAGGGTGATCAGATATCAGCTGGGGGTTAGGGGGTGGATGAGGAACCTCATCAGATATGGAGGGTGATCAGATATTGAGAATGGGGGAGCAGGGCCTAGGTGAGAAGAGAGTTCAGAGGAGACTGAGTAGAACTTGGTCAAAGAGAGAATCTTTGTCAGTAGACGGTGTCAGAACCAAGCCTGAAACCAGGTGACTGGCTGGGCTTCAGCTGGCTCTGCTGTCAGCTGAAATAGCTGTGCAGACAACAGTTTTGAGTCCTTCTGTGTTGGGGGATCTCCAAGACCAAGCTCAGGTTCAATGCTTCACTAGAAGGATTCACAGAACTCATCAAAGCTGTTATACTAACAGTTAATGGTTCATTGCAATGAAAGGATACCAGTTAAAATCAGCAATGAAATAAGATGCATAGGGTGGGTTCCAGGAGAGACCAGGAGCAAGTTTCCAGCTGTCCTGTTCTAGTGGAGGTATATGGACAGTGCTTACTTCTCCTAGCAATGATGTGTGACAACATGCACGGACAATTGCCAACCAGGGAAGCTACTTAAGCTTTGGAGTCCAAAGTATATATTAACTGAAGGTTGGTCACATAGTTATGGCTGACCTTAGTCTGTAGCTCCTCCAGAGATCAAGTTGATACCGTGTGGCTCAAGGCCTCCGGGTAAACAAAGACATACTTATCAGGCAGGATATTCCAAGGGCTTGTAGGTTATTTCCCAGGAACCAGGCAAGAGCTAAATCTTTCTTTGGAATGTGCAGGGTAAGGATAATCCACTGAGTTAATTCTCCAGTGGATATCGCCTCATCAAAATAATTAATTTAAATCAGTTGACTCCTTGGCCAGATGCTGCCAATAGGCTTCTGATTCCTAGGAATGCTTGATTCCAGTACTTATTAGAGTCCTATGTTACTTCTGATTTAAAAGTCCTATGGAAAGTAGTATTTTTCTTTAATTTCATTTTTTTTTTAAAAAAGCATATGAAACATCTGGTAATAGCACCCTTGTACTAAAGTGAGCAAGGTGTTTTTAATGAACAAAAAGAATCTGTATTGGTTTCCTATTTCCATTGTAACAAATTACCATAAACTTGGTGGCTTAAAACAACAGAAATGTATTCTCTCACAGTTCTGGAGGCCAGAAGCCTGAAGTTAGTATCACTGGACTGAGATCAAAGTGTTAGAAAGGCCCTGCTCCCTCCGGAGGCTCTAGGGGGGAGATTCATTCCTTGCTTCTCACAGCTCCTGGTAGCTGCCAGCATTCTGGGGCTGGTGGTTGCATCACCCCAATCTCTGGCTTCATGGTCACACTGCTTTCTACTCTTCCATGTATGTCAAATCCTTCCTCTGCCTTTCTCTTCCAAGGATACGGATGATTGCATTCAGGATCCATCCAGATAATCCAGAATAATTCCCCTATCTCAAGACCCTTTATTTAATCACATCTGCATAGATCCTTTTTCTTTTTCGATATAAAATAACCTTCACAGGTTCCGGGGATTAGGGCATGGATAACTTTGGGGAAGATAATTTTTTTGGTTTTTTTCAGTTTACTACTGAATCCTTCTGGGATTTCTAAGACATAAAAAAAATGAATTGCTTAGATTTACCAAACATTTTTAAGATTACCTATGGTAAGCCACTCAGTAAGCACAGGACTCAGGCTTAAAAACATATGGTATATTAAAGATGGAGGGATATTATAGCATAGTGTCAGAACAAATGTTTTAAATTAAAATTTTTTTTTCATTTTCAAAATTTTTTAAATGAAGAAACTAGGGGTAACTTGGATGATGACTATATATTCCTGTGAAAAATGCAGGAGATAGTTAACAAAATTATTTAGTTGATCCAAGATTCCAAGACTGCTTGTTGGGGTGCAGGGTGGGGTAGAGTTGGTGAGGAGGAAAGGTAGTTTTGTATACTTATAAAATTGTGGGCCAGATTCTTAAGGATTTCCATAATTCAGCTCCACTCTGTCCAACCTTATTTCCTATCATTCTCCAATACATGCCCAGAGTGGGTACCGTTAGACTAGGAAACCATTCTTTAAAACCTGGAAGTTAGAACCAGGAAAAATCACATCTTCCGCTTGTGTCCCAAGCTCCAGCATTACTAAATACAGCAATATTGGGAGTTTAGCCTGAAGTGAGGCCCATCAGCTTTGGTGTAGATGGTGTGGTATAAGGAAGCCAAAGGCAGTCGACAGCCCTCCTTACCTGACGCTGAAGAGGACATTTCCATCAGGGTGTACACACAGCATGATGTTCTCCACAGTTGTATCATGGATGAAGGATCTCTTCGAATGGACAAAAAAGATATCAGGCACCCAAATCTTTCTGATTAATCTGTGATCAAAAGTCATGCTTTTGTTGGTTTTGCTGGGAAAGGCAAGTCTTTCATCTTTCCACTAATGCCTGAGATAAAAAGTCATTGTAAAGTCCTAGGTAGAGAGAAACAGAGACAAGTCAAGGTCAGTAGGAATATAGTTCAGGATGACCAATCAATACTATTAGTCTAGATTGGTTTCCACGGGTGTTAGTGACCTGTCCGTGAATAGCTTATATTTTCAAGTAGATTTAGAATGAAGCTACTGAGCTTCAGTCACAGAGCCTCTCCCTCACCTGGACTCTGGTAAATGTTGAGAGTTTCTGAAAACCATCAAGTATTCAAGTTGGTGAAGGGAAACAGGTTATAACTGGGAAGCATTTCTACCTAAGCACTCTGGTAAATCACCTAAAGAGATCTCAGAAGAAAGGAACCTGAAACTCCATGGTCTGGTATTTTATTTTGATTTTTTTCTCATTATAAATAAATATTCACTTTTGTGATTGATTTTGTATCCATACATTTATATTGTTTTTGTTTTAAAGAAGCCCTCCCCAAGTTGAAAAAACTACAGTCCCACAAAAACCTGGACACAGCCTTTATTGGAGCTGTTAGTGGAAAGCATGTTTTCAGAGGTTCTGAAAAAGCGACAATGATCTCCCTCTTCTTGAGAGACAGAAAGAATGCCAGGAAATGGTGGTGCTGGAATTTTAGTGTGCAAAAGAATCACCTGTGAATTCGTTAAAATGGCACATTCCCCAGAAGCTAGTTCCCAGAGATTCTGACCCAGTATGGCTCAGGTATTTGAATTGTTAATGTGTATTCCAGTTGTAAGGAGGTAAGGATGAGAGGGAAAAGCTATATTAACATTATGTTAGCAGAAAAAAAAAATGGTTAGTCAATAATTTGAGTTTTATTTGGCTCTCAGATACGACATTAAATATTTTGTTTGAACAGAAATTCTCCTATCTTCGTCCAAGTCATTGGGTGTGGGCAATGACAACGTGTTTTACATTTCCCAAATGCTTACTTCATACTATCATTTATTTCCCAACAACACTCCTATTTTTCTTGAAATAACACGTATAATAGAACTTTGACATTTATTACACAAGCAAAGAACAAATCTCAGTAAACCACAAATAAGTCATCAAGCAATGATGAGCTCATTTGTTTTTCTTAGGATCAGAATAGAGGTACATTGTATTCTTGCTCTGCGTTAATCTGGGAGCATCAGCCCTGTGTAATTTTGGATTACAGTGAGGGTGAATAAATAGAATGGTTCATTCATTACTGTAACACTACTCCACAGGGAATCCTGTGGGTTACTGCATGGATTGCTTTAATGAGCATATATTTGGTTTTAGATGCTCAGTCTGATCAGAAGGGCACTGGGCAAATACTGAGCCTATGAAGTCAAATGGCAGACATTGGTATATACATGTCAGTGGTACATCAGCGTCACCACTAGTTGGCACTATCATGAGAAGCGGGCTGAACAGCCTGTTTTGAGGCGAGCAGGACAAAACTAAAAGGGATCGAAAGTGAATTCAGGGTGGGACAAGGGAGCATGGGAAAATGATAAATGAGAAGCAAAAGAAGCCAACACTGGAGGTCACTGATGATTTTTTCAAATTAGGCATGGAGAATGCAGACCAGTTTTTGCTGATACTGAGTACTAAGGTTGAACTTATTCAGGAGAAAAGGATGAGGTCCAGTTTTGGGGGCTGTGGGGTAGACACAACGAGATTTTTAGATGCAGACTGGGTCATTCAGGTATCACTTAGAGATTATGCCAGGAGAGGCGAAATGAGAGCCTGCTTCTGGAGCACAACAGGCTCAAGAAAATGTCACTAAAAGCCACTTTTGGTAAGGGAAGAGCCAATGCTTTCTAATCAAGGCATTTTTGAATAGTGGGTACTAGTGGTGCTATTCCCTCTGGGAGTAGGGTGCTTAAAATGAAGGAAGTTTCATTTAAGGTTTGATATTGAACTGAAATAAATATTAAATTAGATAATGACAAGGACTAGAAGGACATTAACTGAAGACTGAAACCAGATGTTGGGCCATAGAAGATCTTGTTTAGACTTTTCTGGAATTTTTATGTGTCCTGTAATTTTCATTTAGTTAGCATTTGGATGGCAATGACTAGTTGAAGGAATCACTATAAATAAAAATATTAATTAAGTTTACATATGAAAAGATTATTTGCTCTTTCAATTTTAAGTGATTTATATTTTCTAGGTCCTGCTTCCTTAAGAGATCCCTACTTTATTCTCTCTCTTTCATTCTCTTCTTTTGTAAAAAAAATTATCTTTGTGGTAATTGCATACTAAAAATAATATATAGAATCTAAATTTCAATACTTAATTCTATGAAAAACACTATATATAAGCCACAGTTCATATATCAAAAATACTTTTATTCCAAAAAATATCTCAAAGCAACTTTTGAAAATTTCACAAGAACACACATGTAAAAGATTCCAGAAAAGGGAACAAAATGCAAGGATTAACATACATGAAATGACCAGATTAGATAAACAACAAACTAAATCTTTCCAGATGGAAAACGGAGTTTGAAACTAATTCATATCTTCTCTATTCATGGAGGGGGTATTCCCTGGTTTTATTTTTATCACCCTCTAGCCCCCTGCAAAAACCAAGCTTCCATATTCAAAGTAGAAAATGAAAGACAATAAGCGTTTGGCTAAGAGTTGCAACTTCAGATGTCTCCCTGGACCAGGACCTGGCAGGAAACACCAATGAACGAAGCAGGATGAACCTAAGGGGAAAGCCAGGCATGGGTTCCAGGGCAAACTGGAGGGCACAGGCCCTATCTAACGGCATTCACAAACTGTCTAAAACTTGGGGGGAGGTAGGAACAAATCCAAAATTGAAACCACAACCAAAACCAAAACATGTTCAAAGCTGCATCCTACCGGTGAGTACCTGTTAGGGCCCTTGTCATTAATAGTTGCACATAGTGTAATGTTGATAGGAAACAAAAGAAAGACAACTACAGGAGATGATAGAAAAGACAACACAACTGAAGAGAACAAAATTAGATGGAAAGAGTGATTCAAATATAAGAATATACACCACTTAGGTAAGAACAAGGAAATGGACATTGAAAATTTGAAACTATAACACACTTTTTATTTGGCATAGAAAAATATACTAAAATGGGCTACACAAAGCTCTGAGACACTAACAAATTAACAGAATAGTAGTAGGTAAAAAGGAATTACATCAATAATGTATATGTTTGTGCAAGTAAGTATTATTCTTAAAGTACCTGAAAAAAGCTTAAAATTACTTAAATGAAACACAATTCTGGTAATTATGTAGACTCGGTAGTTCTAAAGTGGGAGAAAAGGAAATGGAAAAATTATGGTAGGGGATATTAAAACATAAATATAGCTAAAATGGTAAAACCAGGTTAGGGGGAATGGGGAAGAGGAAACAAAAAAGCAAAGTATATAAAATGGCAAAGGAAACAGGAAAAGGCTAAAAGGAAAATGATAATAATCAGTTTAAAGTTTTAAGTGATGGTGGTTTGCAAGTACTACTCCATAAAAATGGCAAATATTTCAGTGCAAAAATAAAATAAGGGCAGTCTCTTCTGGATTTCTAGAAACTCTAAGGGAATGGACAAACTTTTCTTAATTTAAATTTTTAGTGCTATGAGTTTAAAAAATCCTTTGTTCTCTGCTATTGTTTGTCTACAGATAAGCAAAGTTAGTATTAACTGAAAAATCTGGAAGCATTCTATCAACCCAGATTCAGGTGTTTATCATTTTGTGGGTAAGGACTCATGGTTGTGACTTCATATTTCACATATATTATGATCACCCTTTCTTCTTGTGCAATTGTTTCTGGTTCATGTCACATAGCTAAATATATCATGTCCTTCAGTGCTCCACCACTGTAAAGCCATTAGAAGGAAAAGAGAAGAGGAGGAAAGGAATGAGAATTTTAATCAGAGGTAGAAAGAAGTGGATAGAAGAGAGTAAAGCAACTTCAACTTTATTAAGCAAAGTAGGAAAAATAAGTAACATACATAATTAAGATGATTTATTAAAACACCAGTGAGTTTGACACTATTGAGACTCTATCCTTCCATAAAAAGTATCTCATGGAGAAACTTACCATGTTAACCTCTGAAATGCTGTCAATGCTTTCAACCTGGACATCTATACCCACTGGAGATCCTTCAGAAAGAAGAATGGGGAATATAACAAGGAATCAGGATTATTCTGGAAACATTTAAAGTGGAGAGAGATCAATGTTGCAAATGAATTATTTTTCAAGTTTTAACAATAAATCTCTCCATTGTCTATTGATATATTATTACACATTCAGGGAGTGGATGTAGTCATGGAGTTCATGACTTTGGTAAATATGGGAGCCTTTCCTCCCTTGCCAAAAATTCAGCCTTTTTCACTTGGGCAACGCATGGCAGGCTAGAGGAAGACACTGCTAGTACAGTGCTAGACAAGGATGCTGCACATTCAGAAATGTCGCTTCCCAGATCATCAGTAACCACAACCTGCATTTGGGATAAAGCAAACATCCTTTGAAATGTGTAGCTGAGAGTATTCTGAAAGTCAGAATTGGAGCAACTTCAGACAGACAAGTGCTGAGATTGGTGTGCAGTTGGGTCTCACAGAATCAGGCTCATGCACCCAGAGAACAGACTGAGACCAAGACATTTCCTTGGTACACCTTACAAAGGGTTTCATCTGTACCCGTGTGAGGGGATGCTGATGTTAATAACTTTATTATTTAGTATTGTGTATGAAATTTGATGTATATATATGTTCAAATAGTTTGTATATTTATACATATAGTCTTCATATGTTTTCTTTCCATGGTGACCAATTCTCAAACTTTATAGTCCCGAGTTAAAAAATGCTTTCAACTATTGTTGAAAAAACAGAAATCTTGCCTAGATGGATCCCAGGTGGCTGTTTCAGTCAAGATTCTGGGATTTAGAAGGGACAGGCCAGAAAAACTTCCTTCCTTATTGTCTGGATGTGCTACATGTGACATATATGTGCGTATAATTTAATAAGGCACCTAATTATTGTGTTTTAAATGCACATTATAAAACGAGATATGCCTCGCCAGTCCCTGTGCACCATCTATGACCCCCCCTGCCCCATTAATTGGCTGACGTTACCTTCACTTTATCGACCCAGATTCCCTCTTCTATTCCATAAGTCTAAACCCTCAATATCATTCTTTACTTACTAGGGTATCAGCTGGCCAGGCACTGGGCCTGTCACTAGAATATATTTCCGTTTCAGGCTTTAGGAATACCTTACTTGCATCTTAACCACCAACTACTTCCTGCCATATTGGACCAATTACTTCCTGTAATGTTAATGACAATTCTATTAAAATTTTGTTTAATGATAATTATGATTAAGCATTAACTTGGGAACAGCTCAGTATTATTTCTTTATCAGCTCTAACTCTGGTGCTTTTGTTTGGTTGTCTTTTTTCTTTAATTGGTAGAGCTATCAAAATAAAAAAATCATGGAAAGATCTCATCCCTGCCCCTATCTGGCCTTTCAGGATGAGTAAATATTCCCATTAACTCCAGTACTCCAAGGGACTGAAGGGATTGGAGAGGTCTTGGACAGGGAGCAGAATGTCCTGGAGGAAATTCTGGCATTAGAGTCCAGACCAGAGTTTGAATCCAGCTCCATGACTCACGTGTGATCTCGGGTCAGTAACATCTCTAAGCTTAGTGTCCTCAGCTATAAGATCCAGTAGTAGTACTCACCTTGGAGACTTACTGAAAGACTAGAAATAATATACAGTAAACTTAATTGATACTCAGTAAATAGCACAGAATAAATGTTACTCTTACTGCAATTCAGCAAAAATGTGAAACTGTTCCTAGGACTGCAAACCACAATTCCTAATCTTACACTCAAACATTTAGACAATCAGTCCACTCTTCACTAAAAAATGATCCAGTGTTTCTTACAGAGAGCTTATTTTAGGACAAAACCTGAACACAACTTGGATTCAAGATCTCATGACTTGTAAGTAGGACCTATTTACTGATGACTATCTCTGCAATCCAGGAACAGTCTTATAAAGCCACCATACAAGGACATTCATGCCACCACTGGACAAGCACTGGGCCCTCGGGGTTGTTTGAAGGCTGGACTGACAGTGGGGTAATAGTATGGCTTGTCTCTTAGGAATGGGTTCCTGGAAACATCTTAGATTTCTTCTTTCTTCCCTCTCATTTTTTCTATTCTTGTGGGGATCTTCCATCTCAAAGGAAAGTGTTTGTCTTCAGATGCTGTCTGACCTCATTTTTGTCTCCTTTGTATTTGATGCCCAAGTGTACTTTCTCCTGGGTCTAGGCCTCTGTACTCTGGTTTGACATTCTGAGGACAGAGTGGAGGGTGAAGGCATGTAAAGGCAAGATGCAGAATCATAGAATTTTGGAGCTGGATAAAAGCTCCAAAGATCATTCTTTTTGTAAAACAGGAGCTGAGTCCCAGAGAAAGAGTGGCAATAAAGCAAAAACAAACCAAAACAAAACAAAAAACCATGAAATTTGTAGCCACATAAACCCGAGTTAAAATTAAATGTCTGGGGCTTCCCTGGTGGCGCAGTGGTTGAGAGTCCGCCTGCCAATGCAGGGGACACGGGTTCGTGCCCTGGTCAGGGAAGATCCCACATGCTGCGGAGCGGCTGGACCCGTGAGCCATGGCTGCTGAGCCTGTGCGTCCGGAGCCTGTGCTCCGCAACGGGAGAGGCCACGACAGTGAGAGGCCCGCGTACCACAAAAAAAAAAAAAAAAAAAAGAAAATTAAATGTCTGTAAATCCTTAACTCCTCTAAGCCTCAGTTTGCTCATCTGTAAAATAGGGGAAATACGTATATGGTATGTGCCTAATTGGGTTGCTGTGAAACAAAATGAAAAAATGCATGTTAAGTCCTTAGCCTAACCTAACATTCAAATGTCTTAACCAACTTATTCAGTATCTATTTGATGTGTAATACATAGAACACGAAATATAACACTTTCATAAATACACTTATTAATTCTCTATGTAAAGCATTTGGAATATAGTAAAAATTAAATGACTATTAACTATTACAGTTAGGTGTTGATTTCCCAGGATCACTAACTAGGTAGTGGCATAGATGTTTATACTACTTTATATATATATATATATATATATATATATATATATAAAGCTAGATCATCAATCTGGTTTTATGCATGCTGGAATAAGGAGAGCTAAATGAAAGTTATTCATCTTATTTGTGAGGCGCATTTAAAATACTTTATATATTATCTAATGTTATTATTATAGCCACTTCGTTAGTTAGCTGGGTAGAATCAATTTTAACTCCATTTGATATGAGGGAACTCATGCTCAGCAAGGTTGAAGAGCTTGCCTGCAACCTAGAGCTGTTTAATGCAGGAATATAGCCAGGTCCCTCTGGCGCCCAATCTGGTCCTCCTGTGTGAAAGCAAAGACTACACAGCAGCTTTTAGACCTTTAGCGTTTGTTTTGACTCAGTAGTCAGTATCTAGATGCTGAATTGTTTTCACTTTAAAGAAACAAAGAAATCATCAACTATAAAACTAAAACCAAAAAACCCCTTAGTTATGGGAGATGTAAAGGGTAGGGAAAGTGTAAATAAAGAAAATGAGCTGCAATTTATAACCCAAGTTAAACAAAAAGCTCCCTTAAATATGTATCCTCCTTTTTCCACATAATGAGTCAATTAATCTTCTAATGCTTTATAAAAGACACTGCAGTAGCAGCTGGTTTTAACGTTAAGGCTAATTAGGAAAACATTAAGGCAAGAGAAGTGCTGAACTTACATTTAGCTCAAGAGGAAAGAAGTATGTGTGTGTGTTTGTGTTATGGACAAGTATAAAGAAAGAGAAGATAAATTGAAGCCTGTCTTTTATATCCTGCAGGCTGATTTTCCCAGGAAGGCAGGCTTGAGAGAACAGAGAAGGGGTCACCTGTATAAAAAGCGGTTCTGACCAAGACAAGAGAAGGTTAAGGACTATATTTCACAGGGCTACCAGACTGACACTTCTGACTGAATTTATGGATTTTTCTGCCTGAACTGACTGAACACACAAGCCATTTGGATACCATTTAGCCCCAGTCCATGATTGTCAGAAAAATTTCTTAATCGTGGGATGATTTGCCACCTGCCACTAAGTAGTACATTTCAATTGCATTTTTAATGACCCCACAAAGTAGCCTCAGGAAAAAAATTGTTTTAAAACTTCTTAACATGTATCCCTAACAGGTCAAGAGAAGTGGAATTTTAAGATCGGTTTTATGTTTTTCTGAGGGATGAGGATGATATATAGGAGGGAGAATGGAGGCATAAATGCTTTAAGATAAAAGTAGAGGGTGGGCTCTTGGTAATCTATGACAGTGCTTGTCAAATTGTAAAGTGTATTCAAATCACCTGGAGATCTTGTTAAAATGCAGATTTTGGTTCAGAAAGTCTGGGGTGGGGCCTGATCTTCTGCATTTCTAACTAACTCCCAGGTGATTCTGCAGCTGGTCCTTGGACCACTTTGAGCTACAAAGTGTAGCATGCTTGTTTCAAGGTCCAAATTCAAGGACGGTAATTTTTCTCTTAATCTTTCTGGCTTTCAGTGGTCTAAAATAGGCCCATAAAACCCTTTCCTCGAGGATAGGAGTTCATTTAATTGAGGAACCTAACTTGACAGGAATTAGGGCAGCTTTTTGAATTGGTATTGAAGAGAGTACATCATTTTGAGCTGCTAACCGCTACTCGGGAGAGGCCCATTCCAAGCCATTCCTGTGCGTCTGGAGCCCCCTAATGGCTCAAAGGACCCATAGCCCGGCAAGTTTAACTTCGTAAGATTTTCCCCAGCTGAACCATGGGAGGGAAAAGATTTTAGAAACTCTTTACAGAATCATAGAGACCAAGGTTCAGAATACCTGAGTAAGAGTTGTAGAGTATATTCTCCAAACTTTGGGCAAAAATTTGGGGGAAATAAACGGTCTGTTGGGAATGGTAGTTAGATTTCGGGCATCTTTTGGAGAATTGTCATCCTTAACGACACATCTGAGAAGTACTGATGTAAGACAACAACAACAACAAACCAAAAAAAAAAACAAACAAAAGAAGATTAAAAAAATAGAACTATATGTAAAAAAAACAAAAACAGAAACGCACACATCTTTAAACCTGATTGATTTTGAGGCTTCTAAAAATCTTAAATTAGGTTCAATAAGTGTGAGAAATGCTCTGGAAAACAAACAAATTCTACTCACCATGATTTAATCTGATGCTGATAATCTAATTCAGTAGTTATCAAATGTGATCTCAGATCAGCATCACCAAGGAATTTATAAGACGTGACAATTGGTGACCCCACTCAAATCTACTGAATCGAAACGTCTGTGGGTGAGGCCCAGTAACCTGGCTGTTAAGGAGCCCCCAGGTGACTCTGATGCTTGCTAAAGTTTGCATCATTAACCTAATGAAATCAAAACCATACCCTTAGAACTGCAACCCAATGGATTCCAGGAAATGAAAGAACAAAAACCAAACAACCCTCAACATAACAGCTACCTGATGTACTTTTAAATTTTACCTGTTAACAAATGAGTTTTCTAGGGTACCTACACGCCTGTTGTGCTTCCCTTTGTCATAACCACAGTATGATGAGTATCAAGTTCTCCTCACCCCACGCTGAGTACTTGAAGCATTGGTTATTTATCGAAAAGCGGTACCTGTTCTACTGCTGGGGGATCCTGCCTCCTCACCACCACGCTCACTTCTCTCACCTCCATATCTCTAGCATGAAAAGTTGTCAGTTCAGGAGTTGTGGGTGTGGGAGACCTTAGGTCAATGACAGGAGAGTCAGGGTGGATTTAGCAGTAAGATGGAGAGTTCAGTTTACCTTGTGGATTTTACCACATCCTGTGCATCTCTGGGAAACTTGGTACCCTCAGTGACGCAACTACATGCACAGTAAACAATCTGACGGGAGGAAAGGCTTTCTTACAAGTGTATCCTTCTAATGTGGTTTGCTTCTGTTCTCATCAGCCATTGCATCTTGGTTCCACCACTTACTGCTTTTTTCATGGCCTTGAGAAAATTTCTTGACTTCTCTAAGCCCCAGTTTCCACATTGGAATAATTTAGGGATCATGATAACGCCTACTTCATAGGGTCACTGTGAGTGTGGAACGAGACAGTGCATTAAAGGGCTTAGCACGGTGCATTAAAGGGCATTCCAACATTTTGATCACTTTTTGTTGCTAGGAGTAAATAAAGGAAAAATCCTCAGCAGAGGTGGTTCGAGGGAAGCCATGGCGTTTGGCAGGCTAGTTCTTCAACAAAAGCCAGGCATTGCAGCTCATAAGAATGTTCAACAAGGTTTTATGAATATTATCATATAACCCAACTTAACAAATTTTAATTGAAACAATATGTTGCTGTATGGCAAGATATATACATTCACTATTTTTGAACACATACTATTTATTGAACACACTATTTATGATCATGTATATAGAAAAAAATGAGTCTTTTTGGTTAATTTAAAACGCATAAATTATCAACTGTTCTTATTCAAGAGAAGATCATTGTAAAAGCCTTTTTGTTTTTTTTTTTAATTGGTGGTCTTGTGTTTTGGTCTTAATTCCTTCAAATTTTCAACTCAATTTTTTGACAGTGCAATGGATTGTGACACAAGAGTTTTGTAAAGATAGTACTCACCTCCAAATCCAGGTCTCACTGCAGAATTCTGGTCCTCTACATGGAGAAGTTGCTTATACTTCAGGGGCCACACTTTGGCACTGTCATCTTTCCTCATTCTAGTTTCTTGCTTGCTGTACCTCCAAGGGAGAAAAATGCTTCTGAGATACATATGCTTCTGGATATTTTGATTTAGCTTAGCTTTCTGTGCTCAACATGATATGCTCTAAAATATACACATAAAAGCTCATTTTCTAAGTTCGTATTACATATAGCCAAAGATCTGCCAGCATTTACTGTTTAGTATACAAGGGTGGGGCAGGTAAGCAAATCTTGGAGCACCTTAGATGATAAACTGAGTTTGGATGTGATCCTGACAGGCAATGTTTCTCAGAATGTGGGTTATAGTAGGAAAACCTGGTCACTAGCACCTGCGTGGAGGTGATCAAGATTCAGATCCACGGACCCCAACCCAGATCAACGAAACCAGAACCAGAGGATACAGGGTCTAGGCATCTGCATTCAATGTGCTACCTAAGTGATTCTTAGAGTCACTGAAGTTAAACTACCTCTTGCACTAAGACAGTAAAAAAAAAAAAACCATGAAAAATTGTAGACTGATGAAAATAGTGTTTTACAAAGACAGAATGTGCAAAAATTATGGGTGCTGGTTGAGATTAGAGGAAGTACCCCTATGGCAGATTCTGGAACCTGAGAGAAGGCGATGGGCATGGATGGAGAGGAATCCCAGGGAGAAATGGATGATCTGACAGCTGATTGGACCTAAGGTCAGGTCCAGCTGTGAAGCAGGTGCAGCCTATTTTCACCTGCAGTTTTCTAGGGCAAAGGCAAAGTGTGTGGCCTCTCCCTTGTGTGTGGAGTCCTGATCTGGGAGTGAAGCCCGTTCCTCCCTGGGTCTTTGAACTCTGGCAAGTTACTGGGCCTCCCTGACTCATTTCCTGTGCTGTGACACATACCTCCCAGACGTGTTCTAAGTGTGGCGGCAGAATATCTGTGGAAGCGCACACAGCTCCTCTGTATGTGACATGCTGCTGTCTCCTCATCCCCGGTGCCCGAGACCTAGTTCACTGCCTCTTCCAGAAGAACGTTCCTGTCGCCATCACCGTCATCATTGTCAGCAGCAGCAATAACACAAGACACTGAGGGGTCTTCTAGGTGAATTCTGGTTACTCTGAATTCCTGACTGACTTTTGCATTGATGCATGTCTTCTTCAGGAAACACACGTAAAATTTTAACATAAGACTCGTGAACGCAATTTCCTAACTCAATAAAGTGACTTTGATTGTGGGAATTTCACATCCTGAAGCGGCTGGTTTAAGAAATATGTCCAGGCTTATGGGCACCTCAGATCACCTAGTATGGTCTTTAAATAGAGAAGTTTCTGGCTGAAACCCTCAGAGATTTATGTATATATTTTTGCCATTAATAGAAACGGCGAAGTTGGAGGAACAAATCTGTTTTGAGTAGAAGACAAATGAGTTTGATTTTAAACATAAGTCATTTTATCCTATGAATAATTGAACACATAGAACTATTTCTTCCAAGGATCTCTTAACTAGAAAACTTCTTTCAGGGAGCTAGGATGAACCATTTATTGAAAAAGTAATAGCAGCTAGCTTTTATTAAATGCCTACTGTGTTCAAGGCCCCCTACCAGATGTTTTGTAAATACTATCTTTGGGGTACATCTGAATCACCAGGTTTGCTGGGGCCCATGCCCAGAGTTTCTGATTCCACAGTTTTAGGGTATGAGAATTTGCATTTATAACAATTTCTCTGGAGAACTACTGGTCTGGAAAATAGCAGACATTTTATAAAAGCTAGCTAGTTGTTATTATTTTATGAAAAGTGGAATGTAACCTTGGGTGGAAATTCATGAACTTCTTCAGTAATATACACAACAAAATGGCAATCTCTAATACTCTTTTCAAAAGCATACCCCTCCATGAGATTGGTAGCGATAAATCTTAATTAAGAATCCCCAGAACAATGAACATGCAGCCTGCTATGAAAGGCACTCTTGGCAGTACCTGAAATCACACACACCTTTTTTTACCTGAGGGCTCTTCTGATGTACAGTGAGATGTCCCATCTTTATTTATTTTTGACTTTATTTATACATCTACTTCTCAAAATATTTATACATCTACTTCTCAAAGAGGTTTATGTGGCTTAGATACCCTCTAAAAGAATTTTGAAAACCTCACACATATTTAAGTAGACACCTACAATTTTTTCATCATAAAAGTTAAAATTACTTAAATATTGATAATAATTTAAAATAAAACATATTCCTCCTTTTAATGTATCCAATGAACCTAAAAAACCCACTTTATGCATTTTAAAATACATGAATAAACTCCTCTTTAAAAACCAGAGGTTTTATCTCATTCCTTGTTTTCTTGGAATTTGTATTTTATTTTATTTCCATTTTATTTGAAAGTTCATTCGGGTTTTTCCGTAAGATGTTACGGAAAAACCCAAATGAACTTTTTGGCCAATCCAATATTTCCTTCATTGAATTTTATCACCCCATCATACTTCTTTGCAAGAATATATGTATACATATTGAAATCATCTTTTTTAGCCTCTGTGACTATTGCAAATGGAGCAAAACATAATGCATATAAATGTTGATAAATACTTATTAAAATTATGAATTAAATTTTATAGGAAAAGTATTTCTTAATAAAGTGATGGTACATTTTCCCTATTTTGTGTATCTGTATATGGATATTACTTATTGCACTTGTTATTTCTTGTCTTTTTGATAAAGCCCTTCTAACAGGTATGAGGTGATATCTCATTGTAGTTTTGATTTACATTTCCTGATCCTACTTTTCACTTCTATAGATGAAAATATTGAAAAACTTTGTTGATATATATGTAAGTACATGGAATTGCAAGAAATTTTGTTTCAGGAATGTAACTTAATTATTTAAATTCCTTCCTATTTTCCAAAATTCACGTTGTGGTCTATCATCAATTATTTCTAATGATTTGTAACCTGACAAATTAATTAGGTTATTACTTCAATATTGATGAACACAAAAAAAAAAAAGAAAAGAAAAAAGAAAATCACGCAGTTTGGAAAAGGATGTGTTATTTAAACTAAAGTCATCCATTACCTCAACAACAATATCTGTAAAGGCTTCTTTGTACCTGGGAGGATTTTATACACTGGTGTAATACACATAGTTAAGATTCAGGAAGAGGGAGAGGCATGCCTTTATTTTGCCAAATGGGACAGAGCAATCATTAAAGGGAGGCTACAGAGGAGATTGCAGGCAAGTTTTCAGGAGGATCAGTTTTAGGAAAGAGGTCAGAGGAAGTCAGAGATCCAGAAATAATTATTTTAAAACTATCCATGCCCACGTGCCCCTCTGATAGCTTGCATGTACCCTAAGGGGAACATTATACTCTAGGAGTATAAGTGCCCTATTTGAAGACCTCTGGCTTATTAAAAAAAAAAAGACATATATAGAAAGGTTAATAAAATGAAGACTGAAATAGAACAAAGGCAAGAAAAGTAAATATGCTTAATAAGGGGATTAATTTATGACAGAGAATCAGATTTAGCTCAGAGCTTTCTGGCCTGATTCCATATATGTATAATTTTAAGCCCCTTTGTCTTCTGCCCTCTTCCCTTTCCTAGAAAAAATGATTTTGTTTTTAGTAGTTACTGAAAGAAATCTTTTGGATGACTTCTGTCTGAGGAGAGGGTCTTCTAGAAGGCTAGGTGCCAATGGGATAGAACAAAGAAATCTCAACTCATGGAAGAGTCTGGCATCATTACAGCATTCTTAATCTTTATAGCATTCTTAATCATTACAGCATTCTTATTCTTTCCCCACAAAGAAAGATTATGAACATTGTTTGAGAAACAACAGGTAAGGCTCGGTAATAGTTGCCATTTTTCTTTTTGAGTTAGAAACTTTTTCTTTCTGGATGAAACAAAGGAATCATATTTTTATGTTCCCCTCTCTTGTCAGTATCAGAAACTTTACTATAATTTTGTCACTAAGAAAGTGTGGGTTCAGGGGGAAGGAAGGGCTGGATTTTGAGTGGTTTCAGGGGAATAAAGGTGTCTTTGAGGAGGATATACTAGGTAGAGAATTAAAAAGTACCAGAACTGCTTGAGGAAAAGCAAATACATCCAACTCATTCTGATACATTGGTGTTTAGTCAGTGGAAAGACAAAAACTCATTTTAACTGAGTCATACTCAGCTGGTTGCTTTACCAAACTGCTTTCCCAAGGGCCTATATAGTTGATTAGTTTACTAGGATCAGGACTTGAAAACGACTAGGCCTGACTAAATAGACTATTTACCCAAGAGAGGCTATAATTAAGAAACATATTAAAAAATATTTAATCTAGAGAGTTAACAGTGAGATAACAATTAAAAGTATGAATGCCATTTTATACCTATTAAATGAGCAGAAAACAAAAAATTTTAGTACCCAATGCTGCTAAGAATAGGATGAAATAGAAATGTTTATACTTTGTGGGTAGCAATATACTTGTAAAACCCGTTTAGAAGTTGATTTTGAGAGCTACGAAAATAATTCACATCCTTTGATGCCAATCCAAGTAATGCAGTAAAGTAGTCGGAAGGAAAATCAGTTGATCCAATTTTTGGTCACAAATAAAACCTTGATAATTCTGGATCCAATGTTTATTTTTAGGTCCCTAATGCTTTTGAGACTTCTTAGAGAGGACATTGTGCGTTATACGGAGTGAATCTTGTGGCTTCGACTGAACTGCCCTTGAACTCATGACTCTGGGAATACACACTTGACTTTAGTCAACAGCCCGTTTCTTACAAAGGAAAAATCTACACGGACGAGCATTTCTGTGGAAGAGCCAGCCAGAGAGTGCCCCACTAGAGACACAACAGTTTCCATGACTTAACTTGTGTCTCTATCAGATCATGAGCTCAGTGAGGTCTCAGTTTCCTCATCTGTGAAATGAAGAAATTGGACCAGATTAGGAGCTGGTTTGCAGACATTTTTTGGATAGCCCATATGGTGTATTAAAGTGGAAAATTTCACAGGAAAATCTGAATTTTTCTCTTGAAAAATCAGAAAATCTGGCAATACCAGGCTCAAGTTGTCTTATAAGAAGTCTTGACCTGACCAGCCTCTGCCGCCAGAGGAGCATATAGCCTGTAGTTGCCACAGTCTCTGCCACTCCCTTTGTTATTTGCAGTAGCAGTTGAATTGGCAATCTCTAGGACCCTCTTGGCTTCTACATTAGGTTCCTGGATATGCTGGTAAATGTTTAAGTGGCTCCCCTGGAAAAAAAAGCCCTATTTGTAGTGTTTGTTGATTTCCATGATGTAAATACTGCCACCATAGCTGATTTCAAGCTACAGATATGACAGAGATGTGTGTAGCCCATAGTGTAGTATAGTATAGTAAAGTATAGTTTTGTGTATTATAGTACACTACAGTTTATAGGATAGTATAGTACAGTATAGTGTAGTATTTCTACCAGACATAAATAGATATAAATAATGGAGAACAATAGACAATAGCGACATGTAGTAAAGTAGTTAGGAAGTGGTGAGTTTTAAGTATTTACTACCTTCGTTTTAAAAATAATTTATTTAATTGTATATTTATATAATTTAATTTTTAATAATGCTTATATTTAACAGCCTTAAAATTTAACAATTGGCTCTTGCAAGCCATTTTGCACAGACACGGGCACTCTGATTATTCTTAAAGCCAGAGACAGTGTGTTGTTCTTAACTCTCAACCCAGTACTTGTCATACAAAAGGCACTCAGTACCATTGTTGAAAGAACGAATAAATATTCAGTGAGTCTAGATGCCTAATCCCCTTTGCATCCCTTGAGAGCCAAATCTCTCCCCTAGGCCAAACAGGAGCATTTTCCCCTGCCATACTTAATTTATTCACCCACTCCTCCTCTCCCCCATTTTGTCTTTAAGAAATAAAGGGAATGTTTGGATGAAAGATTTTTAAAATACTTCGATAAAAAAGGGAATCTTTGGGCAAAAAGTAAGATTATATTCTGAATGAAAAAGGTTAATAGCAAAGGATTTAAGGGCCTAATTGTAGGAAAACTGGCTCAAAATCATGTACATAAATGTAAGCTAATATATAAAGATACACTTCCTAATTTTCAAAGAAAGCTCAGGCCTTTCTTCCATGTTCATTCTATTAGTTCTCTTGCATCATGACAGAGTGGATTGTTCATTCATTCATTCATTACTTATTTAATTACCGATAATCAGATTGTGTGTAGGGCAAAGGACCTCACAGCATTTATTCATATACTAAGGTCTAATGTATCCTGGGCTCTTTACTCTAGAAACTATCCTATACAGTAATTTCAGTATTTTTGTCAAAATGCCTTAAAATCTTCATGAGAGAATGCTGAGCGACAGCTCAGAAACAGGCTGGCTGAATTATTCTGTTCACTGGGGAAAATGCCTGACTTTCATCCTAAGTGGCAGCTTCTGAACTAGGGTCTATGTTTTACGCAATCCCTAGTGTCCTAGAGGATTCTTCTTTGAAGAACAAAAGAAGCAGATATAAATTTTAATGAGTCATGTTGTAGCTTATCGCTGAAAGGGGTACCTGACTTAGGTTATAGAGAAGTGAAAACAAACATGCTTGGCCCCATGGAGTGGGAAGCCCGGGGTTACCTCTTCATTTAAATAGATTCTAAAAATGAGACACCTAACATAAGAGAGAAATTCCCACCCCACCACAAAGAACAGATGTTCTCCTCTTGTCCCTTAAATGACACCTAAAAAATACACATGGCAGGTTTTTCTGCAGCAACTCTTCCACCGAGAGTGTGCTGGTGAGATTGATGAGTTCCTATGACCATCTCCCTTCTTATCTGCACATCCACCAAACAAACTGGACAAACTTCCTATTGTTTGAGTTGTAGATGATATTTTAAGCAGTCTCTATTTGTTTCAAAATTCGATAAAATATACTACTAAAATATACTAGAGGTTATAAGCAATCTGAAAAAACATACAGTTTGGTTGTATAGCCCCACATTTCCCAAATATTGCTTGCCCAATTGCCTTGAAGGAGACTCAAAGTGTTTAAACTGGGCAAGATTTCATAGCATCTCAGATCTGCGTGTGGGAGCAGAAGCCTGGAAGGGAAGTGTGGGAGGTGGTCCTTGATTTTTAAGAGCAGAGCAGGAATTAGGAATCTAGTGACCTCTCCTCCCCTCCCGCCATACCTCTTTTGTTTTTGATCATTAAACCTGAGGCTTCAGAAGGATTTATTAAATTTTTATGTTCTTTCCTGATGCTATAGTGAGTGCTTCATAAATATCCAAGATGTGAGGGCAATCTGGCTGAAACAAAAGTTACCTCACTGATTGCTAAGGTTGGCTGGGTGATATCACTCACCTTTATTCCTCAATTTCTCCTACTGGGTCTTTTTGGGAGTCTTGTGCTTGGTGAAAAGGAAAGACTTTCCCTACAACAGGAGGTCATTTCTTGGTTATTAAAGGGTGGTAGGGTGACTAATCGTTCTAGTTTGTCTGCGACTGAGGGGGTTCCTGGGACTTCTAGTGCTAAAGACCATGGAACCCCAGGCAAATCAGGATGAACTGGTCATTCTAGTAGAGAGCTATGCCGCTTCACTAGCAGGTCCAAACATACTCTGATTATTGATAAGATAATAATGATGATGTATTGACATTCAGGATGATATTTCAAAATGGAAAATGAATTTTAAAAAACAACAAATGGCTTTAATGTCTTTCAGTACTGTCTCATCGATATACAGAACTATACACTCTGCAAGTACTTGACATTAGAAATTTGTGCTTAGACTGATTTCTACTCAAAAAATTTTGAAGGAACATTAAACTCATGTTATTTATAATAAATGCATTACTCATTGGAGAACTACAATCCTTGAAAGAAGATTCATACATGAGCCCTTTAACTGTTTTCTCCAAAAATAAGCAAGCAAATGCCAGCAGAAACCCCAGATTCTGCTCTTTCTATGCTCATTAGAGGTGATTTATTTTGATGGGTGAATGCTACCTCTAGAGACAATCACTGCCACAAATACGTGCTACCATTAAAGATACAGTTCTGAGGCAGGTGGTGAGAGAAACTGGGACTACACTATGGATATCTTACCGGGTCGGCTTCACTGAAGAGAAGCAGCGCTGGTGGGGCTTCTTGATTTCACCAGCAGCACAAGCATTTGACATCAGTGTGATCCAGATGCAGGTGAAGAAGACCAACTGGGAAGCCGGGATCACCTCTGCCGAAAGAAAGGAATGTAGATGGATGCAACCAACGCTGTTACCAATATTGCTTCTTCACGTGTCTTTTAAAAAGTAATTAGAGGGGCTTCCCTGGTGGCGCAGGAGTTGAGGGTCTGCCTGCCGATGCAGGGGACACGGGTTCGAGCCCTGGTCTGGGAGGATCCCACATGCCGCGGGGCAACTAGGCCCGTGAGCCACAACTACTGAGCCTGCGCGTCTGGAGCCTGTGCTCTGCAACAAGAGAGGCCGCGATAGTGAGAGGCCCGCGCACCGCAATGAAGGGGTCAAAACTACTGAGCCTGCACGTCTGGAGCCTGTGCTCTGCAACAAGAGAGGCCGCGATAGTGAGAGGCCTGCGCACCGCAATGAAGAGTGGCCCCTGCTTGCCACAACTAGAGAAAGCCCTCGCACAGAAACAAAGACCCAACACAGCAAAAATAAATAAATTAATTAATAAACTCCTACCCCCAACATCTTCTAAAAAAAAAAAAAAGAATTGAGATCATGTAAATCAGACATCAGCAATCAAATTCTAGTCAGAAAAGGGTGGGAAGAGCAAATGTGAGATGAGGTGGCAGGAGTGAGTCACTCAAAAAAAAAAAAAAGTAATTAGAGTGCCAGGTAAAAAGGTATCAAGGAAAAAAGAGAGACATTGTTTTCAATGCTGTGTCTTTTGTTTTAGTAGGTTAAATGGATTGACATCATTTACAGGCAAACATCTGTCTCGATCACCAGCAATTTAAGAAAAACAAAGCAGATTTTTTCATTTTGTTTCCATCCTTTAGTCCCTCTTTCCAGGGAAGGTTCTTAGTGGGATGCTTGATCCCCTACTCAATAAACTCCCAGCTGCAGTCCTCCGCAGACAAAGAAGTGAGATTAGGCATTAAGTCCCCTTAATCCAACACAATATTATTTGAATATATTTAATGACTCAGCAAAATAATATGCTTAATGAGAATAAAGATGATTAGTTTAATTTTAGTTATAGTTTTAAAGATCCTTTCCTTTATCTCATGACTGTTTTTTTAATCCAGAAAGGAATCTTTCCCTCTCAAATGCGTACAGATTGCCAGAATACAAACAAACTTAAATTATTATTTTATCAAATAAATAATCATATTTTAAGATGATGGTTTATTCCATTGATATAAAAAGTAGTTCAATTTAAGGTTTAGTGCGGTGAGCAGCCAGATAAATAAAAAAAGAAATTAGTCTTGGGCAGTGGGTAAGGAATTAAATTATGGCCACATCGGCTCCTAAAGGTACTTCGCACACATCGAGTAGAAATATTCCCTCCATGTATGCAAAGTACCAGTGAATGGGCAGGTTAGTGAAACTCAGTTTCTCCAACTAAAAAAGCACAGGGTGAGCAATCCAGCGACAACTGACCTGTTTACTAGGACTTAAGAAGAATGCTGTTTTCTTCCCAGGGATATACTGTGAAGGAATTCTTAAATTTCCTCGAATTGATTTGTCTCCTTGACACCTCATATCCTGTGTTATTGCTTGATGGTGTTAATTTATTTTGATTTGGGTTATCTCTTCTCTTGGCCCATGCATCTCCTATGTTTCTTTGGCATGTCTTTCCTCTTTAAAATATGTGTTTAATATAAAATATTACAAATATTAAAATATTACAAATATACAGAATGATGTAATAAATACTTACCTCTCTCTTGATCCCCTAGTTAGTGTTTATCATTGTATACAGTTATACTATTATGTATATTATGTACAGGTTTTTTGCATATTTCAGAAAGCTTAATAAAAATGGTGTTAAATGATACTTTTACCTCTGCAACATACTTTTCTTCTCCACATTATGCTTAGAATTATTGTGTTGTTAGTTGCAGTCCTAGTGAATTTTTGAGTGCCATATAGTATCTCACCGTGTAGATAACTAACATTTTATTTATTCTTTTGCTGATGGGCATTATTTCTTATTTTTCAATGATAAACAATCTATTATAAGCAAACCTGCAGTGAATTTTTGTCAATATTTTCTTGTTCTCATACATAACAGTTTCTCTAGGGTAAGTACCTAGGAGTAAAACTTCTAGGCTGAACAATTTTCACATCTTCAAATTTATAGGAGACTACCATAATGCTCCTAAACATGACTGTACCAATTTACAGCCCCATTAGAAGTGAATGAGAGCCCTCATTTCTTAAAATCTTTTTTTTAACATTAATATTATCAGGCTTTTAAATGTTACCCAATCCAATCAATGTTGTAGTTTTAAGTTTAATGTCCCTAATGGCTAGAGAAATTTGAGCATTTTTTTTTTCATGTCTTTCTGGGCCAGTAAGCTTTCCTCTTCTGCAAAGAACCAGTCAATAGAAGAAATGTGAGGAAAGTTGCTGGTCTTAAGCTACTTCTGGAGGATGCCACCATGGTCAAAGTTTGTTTCCTACCCTAGTGATCTCATGAGATCCAGGGCCCTGACACTTGACCCGAGCGCTCTCTGCTACCTGGGCCTGTTCTCTTCATTAAGTACCAGGATCTACACCAACATTTCCCAAAGTAGTTCTTGGCTACACTGGAGATGTTTTGTGAAAAAACGTTCTGTGCCAAGTGAGTCTGGGAAACACTATACAAAAAAAATTTTTTGTGTGTGGCTGTTTACCAATAAAATTTGTTTGTTGACATTTGAATTTCATAGAGTTTTCATGTATCATGAAATCTTCTTCTCTTTTCTCCCCCAATTAAACACTGTAAAAACCATTTGGTGGGATGGATACAGCCCACGGGGCATAATTTGCCAACTGTGAGTCCCCAGTCTAGGTTGTGGATTCACAGTTCACATCACACGGTTCAGTGAAAATGCTCTCCTCCTTCAGCAGTGGGGAGGATGTGAGTTCAATGGTCTAGCCTCAGTGCTTATCTTACTAGATCTGCTGGAAATAGCGACACACCTGAGCTCTCCCTACTTGAAATATTTTCTTCACCTGCCCTCTGGGATACTGGACTTGCCTGTTTTCCTCTTACATCTTCCTCATTCCTGCTCGGTTCTATTATCTTATCTCCCTTCCTCTAACAGATTTCACAGTACTCGAATGGCCCTATGCTCAGCACTTCAGTACTTTAGTACTCGTCTTTCCTACCAACTCACTCATTTTGTGATCTCAGCCAGTCTCAAGGCTTTAAGAACTGTACATACACTCCCAAATTATATAATCAGTCCAGGCTTTTCTCGCAGAATTCCATCTCATATTCCTATGGTCTCAATATTTGTGTCCCCCAAATACAAATGCTGAAATCTTAACCCTCAAAGGTGATGGTTTGAGTAGGTGGAGGCTTTGGGAGGTGATAAGGATGAAGCCCTCAAAAATGGGATGAATGGTCTCATAAAAGAGGCTCCAGAAAGATCTCTCACCCCTTCCACCATGTGAGGATAAAACAAGAAGTCTGCAACCTGGAACACAGCCCTCATCTGACCAAACTGGCACCCTGATCTTGGACATGAACTGTGAGAAATAAATTTCTGTTGTTTATAAACTGCCCAGTGTGTGGTATAGTGTGATAGCAGCCCAAACAGACTAAGACACATATCCAACTGCCTGCTTACTTGGATGTCTGATAAGTATCTCAAGCTCAACATGTCAAAAAGTAAGTTTGTTAATATCACTCCCCCCAGCCCACCAATAGCCTTCTCTATCTCAACTGATAACAACACTGTCCGTTCTTGACTCTCGTCTCTGACATTCCTTGTCCAGTCCACCTTAAAAATACATACAGGATCCAAGTGCTTCTCACCAGCATCTCAGCTACTACCCTGGCCTTTTAGTCATCACCTGTTGCTTGAATTATTGCAGTGGGCCTGTCTCCTTGCTTCTTCCCTTGCCTTGTTTCAGTTAATGCTCAACACAGCCACCAGCGATCCTTTAAAAATATCAGTCAGGTCAAGTAACTCCTCTCTTCAAAACTCTGCAATGGCTTCTCCTTTTCTTCAATTTGAAAAGTCTTTACAAAGGCTAGGAAAGCCTTACCTAATCTACAGTTCCCTCCTCTTCCTTGCCTTCTCCACTGTTCCCTCCCCCACCACTGGCTGTAGAAATACTGGCCTCTGTGGTTCCTGGAACACACCAAACACACTCCCACAGCAGGGTCTTTGCACAGATTGTCACACTTGCCTGACCCACCCATCATATAGATTCTGACCCACCCAAGGATCTATATGACTAACTCCTTTAACAAATTTAAATCTTTGCTCAAATATCGTTTATTCCATGAAGCATACCCTAACCCCCCTTTAAAAAATGCAGTATGCCCCCTTTCCTTCAAACACCTGTTACCAATCTACCATATACTCCACTTAGCATGTTTTATACAATTTACTTATTATAGCTATTACTCATTCTCTGTCTAATCATGCTAGAATGTAAGCTTTACAAGGAAGCATTCTTTGTCTGTTTTGTTCCCTGGGGTATCCTAAACACTTGTAACCATTTTTGGCATTTAATCAGTGTTTAATAAATATTTGTTACATTAAAAGCATCAGAAAAAATCCTGTTTAGTTCTGCTGAATTGTGTGTTTCCCAAACTAGGTTGATCTCAGATCTCCATTAAAAAAAAAATCCACCAGACTTACTAATATTCCTCAAAAAAAGTGCTCCTCCAGAGCACCCAGTTTGGGAAATTCTGATTTATCAGTTAATCTGTGATTTACAAATCCTCCTTATCAAAATTCTATGTCCTAGCACCCCATGACTACTTTTTTTTTAACATTTTTATTGGAGTATAATTGCTTTACAATGGTGTGTTAGTTTCTGCTTTATACCAAAGTGAACCAGCTATACATATACATATATCCCTATATCTCTTCCCTCTTGCATCTCCCTCCCACTCTCTCTAACCCACCCCTCTAGGTGGTCACAAAGCACCGAGCTGATCCCCCTGTGCTATGCGGCTGCTTCCCACTAGATATCAGTTTTACATTTGGTAGCGTATATATGTCCATGCCACTCTCTCACTTTGTCCCAGCTTACCCTTCCC